GTGCCTCCCCTCGCGTCCCCCCGCTCTCCCCTTCCCCCCATTGCTCCCCCCATCAGGTGTGTGTGCAGGGCAGCATGGGGTCGGGCATATTCGCGGGCATGCCCCTGCAGCTGGCGGGCACGCGCAGGCTGCTGGAGGCCATGGACTGGGGGGACGAGCTCAAAGACAGGATTGTCCTCGGCTCTGTTGGTACGTTGTAATGTGGTGGGTCTGTGGGTATGTTGGGGGTTGGTGGGGGAGGTGCGATGGTGGTTGGCACGCGCAGGCTGCTGGAGGCCATGGACTGGGGGGACGAGCTCAAAGACAGGATCGTCCTCGGCTCCGTGGGTGGGTGCAAGGGTTGGTCTCTGTGGGCCAAGGACGAGTTGAGTCGACTCAAAATGTCTCTGTGGGCCGAGCCGACGACGGCATGTGAGTAGTTAGAGGCAGTGAGGGAGGGCAGAGGGAAGGAGGGCAAGTAAGGCAGCATGAGCAGGCTTCTGGAAGCCATGGACGGGTGGGACGAGCTCAACAAGAAGATTGTCCTCGGCTCCGTGGGTGGGTTTGAGGGTGGTAGCTATGTGAATGGCTGCATGGGAGCACATTCCTCCATGCACATTCCTCCATGCACATTCCTCCATGCACATTCCTCCATGCACATTCCTCCATGCACATTCCTCCATGCACATTCCTCCATGCACATTCCTCCATGCACATTCCTCCATGCACATTCCTCCATGCACATTCCTCCATGCACATTCCTCCATGCACATTCCTCCATGCACATTCCTCCATGCACATTCCTCCATGCACATTCCTCCATGCACATTCCTCCATGCACATTCCTCCATGCACATTCCTCCATGCACATTCCTCCATGCACATTCCTCCATGCACATTCCCCCATGTGCATTCATGACCCCTGTCCGCGCATGCTCCATGTGCTCATATTATTGTTGTGCTGACATGCGTGTTGCTGTGCCCACATGCCTCTCGTGCGCATCATGCACCAATCAGGAGCTGCTGAGGTGGCACCAGAGGATGACGTGGTGTTAATCATGGCTCCTCAGAATGCGGTCGGCAACTGCATCCTCGATGTGAGTCACATCACTGCTGTTATGCGTGATATTTGCTGGGTATGATGAGGCGCCTCAGCCTCAGGGGAATGGATGTTTGCTGGCTGTGGTGCTTTCATATGGTCACTCTCCTCGCCACGGCACATCCCTCACCACTTCCCCCATCCACTCCCTCAGTTCCACTCCCTCAGTCCCACTCCCTCTGTCCCTCTCCCTCTGTCCCGCTCCCTCAGTTCCACTCCCTCAGTTCCACTCCCTCAGTCCCACTCCCTCTGTCCCTCTCCCTCTGTCCCGCTCCCTCAGTTCCACTCCCTCAGTTCCACTCCCTCAGTCCCACTCCCTCTGTCCCTCTCCCTCTGTCCCGCTCCCTCAGTTCCACTCCCTCAGTTCCACTCCCTCAGTCCCACTCCCTCTGTCCCTCTCCCTCTGTCCCGCTCCCTCAGTTCCACTCCCTAAGTTCCACTCCCTCAGTCCCACTCCCTCTGTCCCTCTCCCTCTGTCCCGCTCCCTCAGTTCCACTCCCTCAGTTCCACTCCCTCAGTTCCACTCCCTCAGTCCCACTCCCTCTGTCCCTCTCCCTCTGTCCCGCTCCCTCAGTTCCACTCCCTCAGTTCCACTCCCTCAGTTCCACTCCCTCAGTTTCAGTTCCACTCCCTCAGCTCCACTCCCTCAGCTCCACTCCCTCAGCTCCACTCCCTCAGTTCCACTCCCTCAGTTCCACTCCCTCAGTTCCACTCCCTCAGTTCCACTCCCTCAGTTCCACTCCCTCAGTTCCACTCCCTCAGTTCCACTCCCTCAGTTCCACTCCCTCAGTTACACTCCCTCAGTTTCAGTTCCACTCCCTCAGTTTCAGTTCCACTCCCTCAGTTCCACTCCCTCAGTTCCACTCCCTCAGTTCCACTCCCTCAGTTTCACTCCCTCAGTTCCACTCCCTCAGTTCCACTCCCTCAGTTCCACTCCCTCAGTCCCGCTCCCTCAGTTCCACTCCCTCAGTTCCACTCCCTCAGTTTCAGTTCCACTCCCTCAGTTCCACTCCCTCAGTTCCACTCCCTCAGTTCCACTCCCTCAGTTCCACTCCCTCAGTTCCACTCCCTCAGTTCCACTCCCTCAGTCCCGCTCCCTCAGTTCCACTCCCTCAGTTCCACTCCCTCAGTTCCACTCTCTCAGTTTCAGTTCCACTCCCTCAGTTCCACTCCCTCAGTTCCACTCCCTCAGCTCCACTCCCTCAGTTCCACTCCCTCAGTTTCAGTTCCACTCCCTCAGTTCCACTCCCTCAGTTCCACTCCCTCAGTCCCACTCCCTCAGTTCCACTCCCTCAGTTCCACTCCCTCAGTTCCACTCCCTCAGTTCCACTCCCTCAGTCCCGCTCCCTCAGTTCCACTCCCTCAGTTCCACTCCCTCAGTTCCACTCCCTCAGTTCCACTCCCTCAGTTCCACTCCCTCAGTTCCACTCCCTCAGTTCCACTCCCTCAGTTCCACTCCCTCAGTTCCACTCCCTCAGTTCCACTCCCTCAGTCCCACTCCCTCAGTCCCACTCCCTCTGTCCCGCTCCCTCTGTCCCGCTCCCTCAGTCCCACTCCCTCTGTCCCGCTCCCTCTGTCCCGCTCCCTCTGTCCCGCTCCCTCTGTCTCGCTCACTCTGTCCCGCTCATGCACCCCCATCCCCGGCGCCCTCACATGCCTCCCCATCCCCTGTGTCCCCCATGTCCCCCCATCGCCACACCCTGCCATGCTCCCCATCCCCCTCTCCCTGCCACGTGCCCCCATCCCCCGCTCCCTGCCATGTCCGCCCATCCCCTGCGCCCTGCGTGCAGGATCTGCAAGCCATGGTGGAGGCAGCAGCACCGCGGCCCGTCATCATCCTCAACCCGCGCCTCAAGGTCACCCCTACTCACCTGCTGCCCCTCGCTGCCCCCTGCTGCCCTGCTGCCCTGCTGCCCTGCTGCCCTGCTGACCTGCTGACCTGTTGTCACGCATATTCTTTCTCACATCCGTCCACAAGCGCCTCCCTCCCATCCTTCCTCACAGTATCCCTCGCGCCCTCCCACCCTCCCTCCCATTCACCCCTTCAGGACCTGCCGAGTGCAGCGGGGGTGATGCAGGTGGCGGGGCGGGCGGAGAGGGCAGCATTCGCGGACACCTTTGAGCTCTGCTACCTCATGCGCCTGCTCTACCTCTCCGGCACTCAGTACCCCATCCTCGGCGCCCTCAGGTGAAACCCAGCTTCGAGACACCGCTCACTACCCCACCAAGGTGTACAACAGAGTGGCATGGTTTTTTGTATTTATGAACACGTTATTATGCGCTACCCCTCGCTCTTTGAGGTGTATAGGCGTGTGGGCGTGTCATTCGGTGTGGTCATCCCATATCCTCCCATCCCCTACGACCTCATGGCCTCCCTGCCCTCGCTGCCCTCCCTGCCACCTCCCTGCCACCTCCCTTCCACTTCCCTTCCACCTCCCTTTCTCAACCCCCATGATGCGCTACCCGTCTCCCTATGAGGTGTACAAGCGCGTGGATGTGTCCTTTAACGTGGAGCGCTACGACCTCATGGCCTCTCTGCCCTCGCTGCCATCTCTGTCCCCCCTGCCCTCCCTGCCACTTCCCCTTTCTCCACCTATCAGGATGCGCTACCCGTCCCCCTATGAGGTGTACAAGCGCGTGGATGTATCCTTTGGGGTGGAGCGATATGACCTCATGGCCACTCTGCCCACTCTGCCCACCTCTGCTGACATCAGCGACGCGTTCGCTGGCAAGACGTGAGTGGGTGGGGGGAGATGGTGCGGGGTGGGGAGTGGGGGTGGGGAAGAGATGGTGTGGGGTGGGTGGTGGGGTTGGAGAAGGAATGGTGCAGGGTGGGGGGTGGGGGTGGGGAAGTAAACAGGAGAATTGGGAAGACCCAGGGGGATGGGGATAACGAAGGAAAGTGATGCATCTGGGAGAAGAAAATAGAAGGATGCATGCTCATGCTCATGTTCTTGCTTGTGAGTCTAATGATCTCCATGCAAACGTGTGTATACTCCTTCCCCGAGCCCAGTGACTTGCTCCTAACCTTGTGGCCCCATCCCTGGCACATATTCCCTGCATAATTCTGGTGTTTCTCCTGGACGTGTATGTGCTGTGATGAATGGTGTATGCTGCATGTTATATGGTGCATACTACATGGTGCATGGCACATGGTGCATGGTGGATGTGGTGCATGGCGCATGGTGGATGTGGTGCATGGTGCATTGCAGGCCACGGTCACAGACACAACCAGAAGGGATATGGTGAGCAGCCCTCCTCTCACCACGCACATGCTACACGCCACAGTCCCCCCTCGCATCCCTGCTCTCACCAGTCCTCTCACCGCACATCCCTGCACATGCTGAATGCCACATGCACGCCCTCACATCCCCGGTCATCGGTCATTCACACTGCTCATTTACCCCTCCACAACTCTCCATTCTCTCAGCCCCTCTCTCACTTGTGCTTCAACTGTGTGTCATCTCTTCTCCAACCTCACTCTTCATTCCCTCCATATTGTCACATGTGTGTACAATCACCATCAGGGGCTGGCTCTCCAAGGTCTTTTGAATCCATCCATGGCTGCACTGCTCTCCTTCTCCACCATCAGTTGCGTCACTGGCACCTCCGACCATGTATTTATCCGATGACCTCTCTAGGGGATGTCATCTGCCTGCTCCTCCACACAGCACAAGTCCATACTGCTCTTATTGCACTTCGCCCCTGCAATCCTACTGAAAGTCTGGATATCCTCCTCCAGTCTCAGTCGGCACCTCTCTTCGAGATCCCATACTGTTCTCTTACCACAGTTAGCTCTTGCACTCATATCGAAATTCAAATCACTTCAATACAAAGGGCTGTGTTCCAAATCACACTTCCATGTGCAACACCTCCTGCAGCCACCCATTGAGGTGAGTGCTGGAACTGCAACGACTCCTGGCTAGGCTATCAAAGCTACTGCATCTTGTCCACCTGCACACGCTTTTACAGCACCTGCAAATGGCGCCCCTTTCAGAACTTCCTCGTCAGATGGGAGAGTTTCTAACAGTGGTTTGGAGTCAGCCATTTCAATGTCCCTTGGAATATCAGCCTTCTGTGCCCTCATGACACTGGAATACACCCCTTTCGAAGTCTCTTGAAAGGCTTGTTTGGCGAGGATAGTGGCAATGAGTGTGCTCAGCACAACAGCTGCACTCCACCATGTGAACTGCAGAGTGGCAAGGGCCTTGGCCCTGCTGTGCCACACCTCGCTCTCGCATGTAACCGTGTTGACAACCACATCGCGCACGCAGTGAAGGGGAACCAGCGATGGCACCCAGATGCACAGGGCGATTTGGATGAACACCCCACCTTGCAGCTGGAAGCTCATAGCGCGTACAAGAGAGAGCGTGAAGGATGTGGGGTGCGCAATCTCAAGAACCGCACAGATAGACCCTATAGCGATTGGAATTCTCAACAGCATGTGGTAATGACCCTCCAAGCCCATGTGATCTGCTGAGTGGAAGTGAAAGAGCAGAAACTCCTGTGCGAGAGCCGAAGCGCCCACTAGGTGAGGCAGGTACGGCGGGAGGTTTGGGATGAGGTCGCAGAGGAGGCAGGTGAGGGCGTAGAGGAGGAAGAAGAGGGAGATGGCGGCGTGCTCAAAGTTGTTGAATGCGCTGAGGAGGATCACGTAGTGCTCGTCAAGTGGGGAGAAATGCGGCTGAGTCAGCACCAGCTCCCTGTGCACGGGAAATTCGCGTCTCAGCAAATTCAATACAAAAAGTAAAACACAAGTAGATTTTATTGAACAAAAAGGTTGGGTGTTGTGAAACACATGCAACTGACATGAGTATAGAGGCTGTGGCACCCAGTGCGATGAAGATTAGCTCTGTGTAGCGCCTGACGCCTGTGGTGCCGGTGGGGAACCATGCGTGAGACTGGAAGGTGCCAGGGTGCTTGAAGAAGGCTCTCAGGACGTTGAACTGCTGCCACGAGCCGAATAGCAGGAAGGCGGCTCCGGGAAGCAGATGTCCCTCGAAAGTTCCCATGCTGGACCACTAATTCTGAGAAGACAAGCCAGGCAACAGATTTAAACTCGTCTAGGTAGTACTAGCCCGACGTACTCTGAAGTACCTACTACGATTGACAGCGGAGAGTGGAGAAGTGAATGAATGTGCAATCCGCGTGATAGAATCAGACGCAGAACGTGAACCGCGGCGAGAGGTGAAAGCCTCGTGGGACTCGCGAAGGCGGGATGATCAGGTGGGTGAGCAGAGATGGGCTCGCTGATGCGGTCTGAGGGTGCGGGGTGGCAAAAGGGTGCATGATGGCGTCTGAACCTCGTAACCTCGTTCCTGCCAAAACGGCACAGCGTCATGGATGTTGGCGGCAGCATGTGCACGGTGGAGATGTCAAATGCACATTGGAGATGCGCGTCGCGATTTCTACTTTGTGCATGCAAGGGCTTGATTACAAATCCCAGAGGCTGGAAATGCGTTTCGATTGTGCTTACCAACGGTGGAATGTGATTGTGTAACAGGGTAACAGTGCTGATCATACCATCGTGACTGGTATACCGTAGCTAGCATGCACATTCAAAAAACATAATATTTACCTTTCTGTATTTTAACGAGCACATGCCTTTACCAAGTATAATTGTCACCTCACAGCCACAACCCTTTGCGATCCACAACAGCCCACGTCAGCACATTGGTGGCCATCAATTTTGCACGAAAACTGCTCTCGCTGGGCGAGCCACTCATCATGAATCTGGTCGCGAGTTCAAACACCATACAATCCCACGGTCGCGATAGTGAATCGGTCGAATCCAACGGTTCACGAATAGCACAACGGAACGCAAGACCTGAACCGAGTCGCAAATTGCAGTGCAAACTGGGGACGGTTCTGCTCACCCAAAAAGGTGCTGGGTCTTGCAAAGGTGTACTGTGCGGTAGACACCCCCCACCGAAACATCCAGCAACTCAAAGCCTAGAAATGAGGTGAGAGCAGTTTTCGCGCACTTAGTTACCGTACCCATAAACGCCCAACGAACAACAACGCGCCTCCAGTGATACAAGCTAGAGCGCCAACCGAACGGTTCTAACTAAACTAGTGTACTGTACAAAACACTGGGAGAAATTTCCTCTTTTTTTCTCACTGTTCAACCAACTAGTCAGTCCCTCACCCTCCCTCACCTCTCGCTTCGCTTGTGGCTCAGCTTTGCGTAGGCCGAAGCTAGCGCGCGGCGCCCGTAGGTCAGCGGCCGCGCGTGGTCCTGTAAACTTGGCAGCATCAGAAGTAGTACGTCAGTGAGGAAACATCGCAGAAATGGCTCCCACCAGGTTTTATGGTCGACAGGGTTTGTCGCGACGAGGTCTCTTGGGAGTCGTGCAGGTGGGATGGCGGATGGGATCGGAAACCTGACATCGGCGAGAGAGAACTGAAGGTGCACCACTGAAGCGGTGAAATGACGGTGTGAGCGAGGAGGATATGACGTGGCGCATCCTTTCGAGACACCAACACCACAGACTAAAGGCGCAAATCATCCGCGTTGCGTTCATAAATCAGCTGACAGCCATTCCCACCATCACCACCACTAGACATTACTCTTGGAGCGGCATTAGTACCACTATTAGCGCGTGTTGGCGGCATTAGAGCAGTCCGCCGCCCTGCTCGCGCTTGCCACGGTGAGCTAACCCAGCCTTGGTGTTTCCGCGGAGCATTTCAACGCGCGCTGCGGAGTAGTTATCTAGCGTAGCTCGGAGCAATCCTTTAGTTCGCAGTGATGGCCGCACGACCCAATACCTCCGCAGTCCCTAGGAGCAGCTCAGCGCAAGTCACCGCAGTAATCGCCGCGCTGGTTCTCGCGCTGTCCGCGGCGTGTACGAGGCCCGTCGCGGCGTCGTTCTGCGCCGACTACGTGAAGGCGTTCAAATCCCCCGAGCTCCCATCCGTGGATGACATCGTCCTCACCGCGTACACGGTACGTCAACTGCACGCTCGCCATTGTAGGCCACTTGAGCGAATCGCACTTTGAAATGCACGCCTGCGAGTGAGAGTCCCAACTCACAGCCAATTAACCGGTCGGCTCGGCTGCGATTTGAGCGACCGTCGCGTTCACGCCGTGCAATGCGCAGTCGCAGCTGCGCAATCACACCCTTCCCGAACCGGGGTCGGATCGGTCCCCCGCCTCGGTATTGGAGGCGTTCTTTTGATAACTCTCGCGATGCCTACAAATGCGGCTTTCACACTTCCCCTCTTCCCCTCAATCGCTGCGCCCGTACCCGCCAGCAATCATTCTTGACCCGCCCTCTCCTTGATTTCCGCCCACCCGTGTGCGCCTCGCCAACCTATCCAACCTTTCATCCCCGTTATTGTCTTACCGTCGGCAGGGGCGGTGGTACGAGATCGGGTCGACGGCGGGGTTCCGGTTCACGTTCGAGCTGGGGCTGACGTGTACCACGGCCAACTACACGGCCAAGGGGTTGGTCAACGGCCGCAACAAAATCAAGTGAGTTCTGGGCGCCATGCGCGCCGCGGTTTGGGCTTGAGTAAATAAGGAGACGCTGCATGTGCGTAGCAACTCTTAACAGCCACGGTCACAGACTCTGAAAGAACGTGGATCTGTGAAAGGTGCAAGCTCTGCCTCTGACTGTCGCAAAATCACACGCCATTGTGGCTCCGATTTGGAGCAACTGTTTTCGTCCTGTCTTGCTCCCCCGCCCTCTCCCTCACCCTTTCTCCGTTCCTTCCTCCCTGCGCCGTCCTCCCTCGCCCATCTTCCAGGGTGGTCAACCGCGGCATGCGCAGCGTCGCTCTCCCGCGTCGCTCGCAGATCTTCACCACCTCGTTAAACGCCAATCGCATCGCCAGCAATCTCAGGATCGTCTGTGGAGTCGCCAACACCGCCTCTGCAGCGAGCGCGCAAGCACAGACCCTCCTCTCCGCGAATGCAGCCACAAACAGCAGCGTTGAATCCCTCGCTGCAGCTGATAAACTCGCTGCATTTGTCACGTTGGTGTCATCTGATGCGGAGATTATTGACAATGCGCTGAGGGATTTCCAGACAGAGGCCGACCATTTGAACAAGCGCGGACAGGCCAAGGGTTTCAGCGCCTCAAAGAGCAAGATGCTCAAGTCCATCTCCAACATCCAGGGCGCTGCAGGGCGAATTCTTCAAGCTGCATTTACTGGGAAGACAGCGGCACAGGGGTTGTCTGGAGCGCTGAGAGCCATGGGTGGGCAGGGCGCAGAGACTGCTGCGAATGGGGTACGTGGGAGCTGAACTCAGCATGCTGCTCTTCTTGGGATCCGCTTAGGTGTTCCGTCTGCCATGCACAGCGGCTGTGCCGAATTATTCCGGTCAAGAGTTTGGTTTGCTCACGCGTCTCTGTGTGCTGTGTACGTTTACCGATCTGTGCCACATGTGCAGCTGGGGTCGCTGGTGGGAAACACAAGGATAATGTTTGCGGCAACCAGCATTGTGCGACTCGCCACAGTCATGGTCGCACCCACAGTCGCCATGGTGCCATCTCCTCTCAGAAGTCTTTCACAAGGTTTCGCTCGTGGCAAAGCCTTGCAAAGCAAGAAGAATGTAAGCTTGTTCCAGGCTTGCCTTGTCCTTGCAGAGTTGTGCTGGCTCTGTCTCCCCTTTGGACTCACACACTCTCGTACTTTCTTGGTTCCTCTGGTGATGCAGGCGGGCCGGCTCTCTGTGACATTCTTTGGGCCGGTGCCATCAAAGCCCAACTACTCTGTGTTTAACGTGCAAGGAGACCCATCGGCGGGGCAGTACACACAAGCAACTGTGGTTGATACAAGTGGAGGCGAGGTAAACTCGTTTTTTCCTTTTCCGTGTTGATATTTTGCATTAATTGTTTTGTACCATACTAACTTTCGTCTCGTTACCATTCCAGGCCACTATCTGGCTTCTGTCTCGCACACCTACAATTCCGCAGTCTGAGATAGATGCTGCGTTGGCGCGGGTTACTGATGCTGGAGTACGGCTAACAGGAGCTAACTCATTTCTGCTTACTGACCAAAGTACAAGTTGGTGCACCAAATATTGGAGCACATTGAGGTGATATGAAGCGTTGTTGGTTCACTTGTTCTTACCTACAAAAGGAGCTTATGCATCGTACTGTAGTTAGCATTCTAGCGAAGCTTTCCCACCCATTCCACGTTGTGCGACCCAGAACGATCCCCGTCAGCGTCTCTGCGGTCATGGTTTGCTCAGCTGGTGACCGGTTGTGGTGTCTTCTGCGCCAGCTGGAATCTGCTGCTTTGACGCGCTTCGGAGTTTTTGAATGAAGACTTTCTTCCCCACCTCATACACCACAGTACCAGCTGGAAGTTCATGGCTCAGCGTGCTTGTGTGAGTGCCAGTCCCCAACACACCCCCCAAACCAACCAGCCCAGACCTGACCCGGCTGCTATCCTCGCCACTCACCACCAAATCAGGGCGAAGCGCGCGTAGGTGCGGTGAAATTGGTTCATGGTCGTCATCACTCGCCAGGCGGCCCACAAAAGGGGCAACTCCATATCAGCGCGCAATTAGCCAATGAACGAGGCCCTTCCCACCGAACTCACGCGCTTGGGCCGAATTGTCCACACAGTAAAATGTAAATGTTAGGCGTTTCAAAACATGCGGTGCGGATACGAGCACAAATGGGTTCGGAGTGTGCAATGTGAAGCACACACACTCATCACTTCAAGCCTATTCACCACACACCCCTCGTTAGCGTATTATTGATCGTCATCGAGCCATTTCCATCGAGGCTGAGGGCTATCTTCTGACCAGACTAGACGCGTCGGTCACGCCGGCAAGTTCCGTGCTGACTGTAAGGCTGTCTACTACAAACAGCGATGGCTGCTCGCAGGCTCGCGCAAATTACGGCGGCCGTTACGCTGCTCCTCGCGCTTTCTGCGCTAACATCTGCCTCCACGTCGTTCTGCGCCAACTATCTCGATGCCTTCAAATGCCCCAAGCTCGCGTCCTTCGACACCGTTGACATTTCGGCTTACACGGTATGTGTAAAACTCCTACTAGTAACCACTGTAGATATAACGCGTGGATCAACCGGCATTTGTTATGGAAGCACTCTTTGCGGTTTATGCCGCGCGCGTGTGAGTTGAGCCTCCGCGACGGTCCGGCGCTGGCCGGGCCATCACGTCGCTGCGGACTATTGATGTGGACATCAAGAAACGAGCGAAATGGCCGTGCATAGGTGCATCCCGTCTCGGTCATGGAAGGTCGCGTCAAGTTTACTTCTCGAACGCAATTTCGTCTCGCAACAGTGACATTGACGTTGCTGGTTCGGTTTGTTGCCACGTGGATACACCAATGACACTCGCCTTGCCAGAAACGGCCATCTCTTGCCTTTTCCCGTCTCAGCGATGTCGACGCGTCGCTTCGCGCCGCGCGTCATGATGGCCGACCTCCGGGGCGGCGAGTAATCCTCGCAGCGCCCGATTGAGCACTCCTCCTAGCAGCAGTCACGCACTTGCTCCCCTCGTAATAGCTATTCACCTTCCAATCAACGTCATGATTCCCCACGACGCCGCGACCTCTCGCCCTGATCCATATCTTTGTCTGCTCGCCTTGCTGTCCCGACGCGGCAGGGTCGGTGGTACGAGGTGGCGTTGACGGCGCGGTTCCACTTCGAGAGGGAGGTGGGGCTCACGTGCACCACGGCGGATTACACGCCCGATGGGACGGTCAATGGGCAGAAGCGAATCAAGTAAGTCAGTCGCGAGCGAGCTAAAAAAATGTGGGTTGGGCCCAAACTCACATCCCATCAAGGTCTGAGGAAAACCTACACGAAGCACCAAAATCTTCGCTCACACTCGTGCTCGCAGCGACTGCATATGGAACCAAAACTTGGCAAAAGCTATTTGTTTGCGCTCGCGCTCGGCGGCAGCACACAGCAGCGATCATGTAGTCACTGCGCACGATACCCCTTCTCGTCCATTCAGTTTTAGGCCGAAACTCCACACCCGCTCCGTCCCTACTCCACTTTTTTCCTTCTCCCTCCGACCCCCCGCCTCCCCATGCTCCCCCCGTCTCAACCCTCCACCCTCCGCCCTCCGCCCGTTCTCCAGGGTGCTCAACCGTGGCAAGCGCAGCGTTGCCTTCGCGCGGCAGGTACAGGTGGTACTGTCCTCCACTAACGCCGGCCGCATCGCCACCAACCTCGGGATTGTCTGCCGGGTCGCGTACAATGCAGCCAAGGCGAGCGCGCTGGCCCAAGCCCTCCTCGCCGCCAACGCCTCCGCGGACGCCGCCACAAGCAGCGTGGGCGCAATCTCGGGCTCAACCTCAGGCCCGCTCATGGCAGCCAATGAGCTTGCGGCATCTCTCGCCTCGGTGTCATCTGACGCGGAGATAATCGACAACGCCGCGAGGGATTTCCAGACGGCGATGAGTGCAATGAATGAGCGGCCGCAGCCCAAGGAATACAGCAAAGCCAAGGGCAAGATGCTCAAGTCCATCTCCAACATCCAGGGCGCTGCAGGGCGGATCTTCCAAGCGGGGTTTACTGGGAGGACTGCAGCGAAGCAGCTCAGCGGAGTGCTGCAATCGCTGGGCGGACAAGATGCCAAGACTGCTGCCAACGGGGTACGTGCTAGTCTCCTGTTTTGCTCCTTTCAACTTAACTGCAGATGAATTACCGTGTCTGTATGCTTCTCTATCGGTCTCTGACTTGCATTGCCTGTTCTGCCTGCATTGCCGTGTCCCTGTGCGCGTTGCGGAGAGTGCAGCTGCAGTCCTTTGTGCGAAACACGAGGCTGCTGTTCGCATCCAGCAGCATAAGCAGGCTCGCCACGGCCATGGTACCCATCGTGATCTCCATGGTGCCCTCCCCCTTCACCAAAGTGGGCCAGGGCGGCTTCCCACGCGCCAAGGCCATCCAGAGCAAGACCAATGTGAGCGCTTCTGTCATCTCCCCATCCCCTCAACTGCATGTGTTTCAGCAAAGAAAGTGCTCCATCACCTTTATCGCATTATAAGTACATACAGCAGATATTTGTATGTGCCCACTTCCGTAAATGATGGGTCCGCTCTTTGCTTGCAGGCTGGCAAGCTGTTCGTGATATTCTATGGTAAGAAGTCAAAAGAGCCCAACTACATCATCACTGACGTGCAAGGAGACGCTTCCAGTGGCTACAGCCTTGCCACCGTTTATACCTGCTATCAGGGCAAGGTACGTCTGCATTGACTGCTGTGCCTATTCGCATCCTTTTTGTGACTCTCTGACCCGCTTCAACTTCCCACTGCAGACAACGGTTTGGCTTCTGTCTCGCACACCCAACGTGGCGCAATCTGATATAGATGCTGCCTTGGACCGTCTCAAAACTGCTGGCCTCCGGCTCACAGGCGCTAACTCATTACTGCGCACTGATCACACTCAGAGCTGGTGCAAAAAATACTGGAGCCGACTATAGTAGCCCCTGGACTGGATAATATATCTTGATGAGGATCCTGTAGGAGTTTCATTGGGTAGGAGTTTTATTGATTGAGCATATGATGTGTGTTTAGCTAAATGTCTTGTTAGCCAACTGTACTGTTACACGTCACACAATTCCTTCACGGGTCGCAACGGAGCCCAAATTTGGGCGCCCACCGAGCTGTAAAAACAATTTCACCGACATTACGAATCGCGCATTTGTGGTTGACACGATGCTCCCCCCTGGATTCATTCCACAGCGCAGCCGGCCCGCTCTACCCTCTCTCCTCTCCCCCTCCGCCATTCCGCACCAACGAGGGAACATACAACACAAACAATGATCTGCTCTTCGAATCGAAATGTTTCTGATGTTCTCTTGTGTCTGAAGCAGCAACACTCAGTAGACCTGTGTTGTTGAATCTCCAGAAGCACGGACACTGATTCATTCTCTAGAGCTACGGCCACTGCTGCTTTATGGAAACAAAGTGTTTCCGTGTGTGTCTGGTCGTTCTACCGCTCGTTATCCTGCTCGCGACCCTATTGCCACCACCAGCGCTGGCACAAGACGTGTCGCCCAGCGATGGCTCGGACGACGTGCCCTTCTGCGAGAAATTCGTCGAGGATTCATCCCCAAAGTGCCCGAACGTCGAGACCGTACCAAATCTCAACATGGGCAAGTTCCTTGTAAGCACCGCCCGACAACGACCGTCGCTCGTCAATCCTCTGGTGCCATGAATTTTCTCAATTCCTCTTCCTCCCTTTCGGTATTCCGCTGCCCCCCTTGCCGAGCAGGGCAAGTGGTACGAGATCGGCGCGACGGCGCTGGGCATGTTTCAGAGCAAGGGCGAGCTGGGTATTGCGTCCATAACCTACACCTACAGCACCACCAAGAAGGGCAAGTCCGGCGGCGCTCTCAGGTACCGTTAAAGCCCACCAATCCACTTCGCTCTCTCTTTCACGCTCCTCCCCCTTGCTTCACCCACACCACACCCTCCTTTGATTCTCCATTGTTTACCATGTCGCTCACACCCCACCTCCACCATGGCCTTGATTTGTGATTGCTCCCCTTCCCGCCCGAAGTTTGACGCGCCAGGGCGTGGTGGCGGTGATGCCGATGCGGCGCAGCCAGGTCGCCGCGATCTCCGCCGCCACCACCGTTCTCGCGCAGCAGCTGCGCGCCGTGTGCGGCTCCGCGTCGTCGGTGCGCACGAAGCAGCAGCTGAGCACGTCGTACCTCACGCTTGGTTCCGAAGAGCTCCCGGTCGACGTCAAGCAGTCCGTGTCTTACGGCCTCGGGAGTATCGAGGGCGCCGTGGCGGACGTGTCGCGGCGCGCGGAGACGCTCTGGGCGGAGCTGGACGACGTGCAGCGCGCCAATGCGCAGTTAAACCAGCGCGACTCCTTCGCGCTGGTGACGCGGATGAAGAGCGCGTTGCGAAGCGCGTCAAGCGCGATTCAGGGGGCGGCGAAGGGGATCGACGCTAAGCGGAACGAGATGTACTCTATCGCTGCCATGAACCGCGTGATTGTAGGCGGCGTGACTGCAGCGCAGGGCAGCGCCAAGGGAAAGGAAGCAGTACGTGAAATATCACGAGTCAGTGCGTCTAAAAAAACAAAGCTGCATTCTCCATTTCTGACAATGCCCACCTTCCTGACGTCGTTTGCGCTGACCATGGACCAATCCTCGTGTCTCCATCTCCCTATGTCCACGTGGCAGATCTCCCTGGCGATGGCGAACGTGATGACCGAGTGCCAGAACGGCAGCACCTTCTCGCAGCGCGTGGCGGCGCTTGCCTCTGCCACGCGCTCTCTCACGCCCCTCGTGTCGAGCCTGTTCAGCAGCCCCAGCCCTGCGCTCTACACCACACGCACCACCGCCACCGCCACTCTCAAACTCACCTCAGAGGTTGGGTGACTGAAATTGAGCGGGGGAATGCAAGCAGCTGGCAACACTCGTTTTTTCTGTGGTTTGTTTTGTTTCCATTTCTTTGGCTGCTGTGCTTAATACATTGTTGTGTTTGCGGGGTGCTTGGCAGGCTGGGAAGATGATCCAGCAGTATCAGGGCGTGCAGACAGACCACTGGATAATCGGGCTGTGGGGCAATTCTGCTAAGGGGTACTCACATGCACTTGTGTACTCGTGCTACCAGTCCACGCCAGGCTTATCATCAGATCAAGATGGCCAGGTGAGGATTGCATGGCCTGCAGCATCACCACTTGGTTGCTACAAACCTTACTTGTTCCCTGATATTGTTTTCGATATTTTGTGTTGCATTGCAGGTCACTGTCCGGCTCCTCTCTAGGACGCCTAAACTTCCCCAGGTGTCTATCGATGAAGCATTAAAGCTTCTTTCTGACAAAAAGATAGATTTAAGTGGACCTAATCCATTTACATTCAGTGCCCAATATGGCTAATTGTGAAAAATAAATTCATTTATAACCACTGAACCCACAGACTGTAGGGCATCACTTATTTTTTGCGTGTATTGTAGCAGAACAATGTTATGTTCTAATACAGCAAGTTGTAGAAACATTTGAGTAGCATACCGTGACGAGTACATTTTCGAAGCCAACCAGGCAAAATGCATCAGACTCGGCATTTCCGTTGCCTCCTCCATCACATACCCTCGTCACCCCTAACATCGCTCGCTTGCCGCGTGTCGAGCAACGCTGTTCGTGTGCTGTCAAGACACAGCATGCCGTTGCGATGCGATTCATGGTGCTCGCCGCTCCCTGCAGCCGGCGACACCACTGTTCTCCAATACACCGGTGTCGTTGAAAGAACCCGATGGTTCTAGCTTTTCAGGCTGCATCACTAATCTTGGGATAGCATTCACGGATAGCTTTCTTGGTTAAAGTCGAACATGGCCAGTCAGGTACTTCCCTGCGCTTCTTTTCCCCTCTTGTTTAGTTCCCTCCGTTCTTCTTCCGCTTTCGAGTACTAACTTACTAAGGTGGCGATGGATGCGCGTGTGTGCGGCGATGGGGTGCAGAGGAACGTGAAGGTAGCCGTGGCGGTGGACGGCAGCGACAACAGCATGCACGCGCTGCGAGAGGCGGTGCGGCTCTTCGCGAGCACGGCTAAGGAGTTTCACATCATGCACGCACACAAGCCGCCTAATGGTACTCCCCCCACCAAGCAGGCAGAATGTTTTTCTTCAAAGGAAAGCTGCTTCTCGCTAATGAATATTATTACACCCTCCAGTGCAGATTCTTGCATAGAGCGTGAAGTATGTTGTATGGTTTGGTGCACGTAACAACTAAGTAATGCCGCAAGCTACCTGTTCACATGAACTAATTATCCTGCCAGATCCTGCGTATTACTACCCTCCTCTGCCCTACATGCTTCTGTCCCGCGAGCGTCCAACAGAGTTCCGCACGGACTCACTGTTCTCTTGGCAGGAGTACTACAAGCGCATGGAGCATGAGAGGCACGCTAAGGCGCAGCAGCTGCTGCAGAAGTGCGCTGAGGTGGTGAAGGAAGAGGGTGGGAAGCGGGGAATGGACGAGGGCGTGGCGGTGAGTGGCGTGGATCTCAAGGGCGACCCTCGGGATGTGCTGGCTAACCACGTGGAGAAGGTTGATGCGGATCTCATGGTCATGGGGACACGTGGCATGAGCCTGCTCAAACGGTGAGGCTTCTCGTGAAATTTAATGTATATGATGGGAAAGTATTGGAATCTGGTCAGTGGACTGTGACTGTCAAGGCAGTTGCTTACTTGCTATAGCACTGATTTTCCTTGCTCCCTCTTCCTTTTCTTCCTCACTCACCTCACCTCCCTGCGTCACACCCCCCTCTGTCTTCACAGCATGGCTCTCGGGAGTGTGAGCTCGCACTGTGTGCACCACGCTCCTTGCCCAGTGCTAGTTATTCCATCGAAAGCAGATGCAGCTCACGAGCCAGAATCGGCACCCAAAGCAAGTGCCACCCATGCTGGAACATCCGAGCTGGAGACCCATGCGTTGTCTGCTGTAGGAGGTGCATGAGGGTGTCAACTTGTAAATATGCACATGTACAACCCTTTTAGGGTTGCCATTTTTGTATCCCATGCATTGGAGAGACCCATGCGTTGTTTGCTGTAGGTGCATGAGGATTGCTTAGTTTGGTTGGCCTTGCTTTGAACGGAGATTATTTTCAATAGGGAACTGTATCAGGTTAGTAAATATATGGCGCTCTCTGATTGTGGCAAACTGTAAAATCAAGCATAAAAGTCATTGTAGCATCTAAAATTTCTGATAATTCTTCTAAGCCAGAAAGTATGCTGTGGGATGGTGCTTGTAATCAAAGTGGACGAAATATGAGTGGGTGGTACCAGAGTGTGGAGAGATGCCTTCTGAAGGGGAGTTTTACGGCACGGCCAATCACAAGGCCTCCCGTCATCATGACCTTTCCGGATTCGTCGAGCGGCCAGGCCACCTGCAATGCTGCCAGAGTTGTTTGTTTCTGCCGAGGGGATTGAACCCGCGGACCACGGAAAGACGTGCGAGGAGCAGACTTCCGCCCTTCCGCAACACGCGCACCTGCGCACCCTGTGCTCCCCCCTCTTCCATTCGTTGACAGATGCGGAGCGGACCTAGCTTCCTGCAACTGCCACAAACCAATCCCAAGGGGCTCTCCCCAGCCTCCTGGCAGATCGTCCTGGCTTCCGGCCTGGCCATCAAGAGCCACAAAGGGGCATCAAGTCAGGTCAGGTGTCCGCTGCACACAAGTGGATGCCCATACTATCCAATGTTATGTTCATGGAATCTAGACTGTAACCTGACTACAGGAGGAGATAAGGCTTCATCACTGTGGGTGGGAGGGGATAGTAGAGAGTCTGAGTTATGAAGGAATAGAGTAAGGAAAAATATGCATTGGAGCGTCCAGTCTCATAAGCAGGAAATGTAACATCATTCGGATAGCGCCGGTCACTCATAACGCTGTTGATCATCATGACTCGCACCGCTAAAGCCATAGGGCCGTCGAGCTCGTTCCGCGACGGACTTTGCTCGAGACGCCTCTCCTTAAGGACCACGCTAGCAGCGGCTCGCAGACTGCACCGAGGCGCCAGAACTCAGTGGGCCCCACCGTCCGCATTCTCCGCTTCGGGTTCGGCCAGAGCCGGGAGCAGTCATGGCTCTCGCAGCTCAACCCCTTCGCGTCGCTCCGCTGCTCCGCGTCGCTCGCCGGCACGTGGCAGCTGGTGCGCGACGCCGTGCCGTGCCTGGATTGGCTGCTGTCGTACGACGTGCGGCGCGACCTGAAAGGCGACATGGTGGCGGGGCTATCGGTGGGGTTCATGATCATCCCGCAGGGCATGGCGTACGCGCGCGTCGCGGGCCTGCCGTCCATCTACGGTCTCTACACCGGCTTCGTGCCGTGCCTTGTCTATAGGTTCGTAGATCCTCAGACATTTCCAAAGAGCAGCAGGGAACACCCTAGCAGGCCAATGGTCTCTTCTCTGCACCCACTTCGTTCCGTTGTCCATAGGTCCGTCCCGGTCGGTTAGCCAGCCACGTTGCTTCAATGCGGCACGAGTGCCGTTATGCATTACGAGTGACTGATGAGAAGTTTAAGGCGTGCGTCGTACCCTAGTGCCTTCCCCGCGACCGCTGGTCATCATGACACCCCTCTCATGCTCCAACCCCCCTCCGCGTGTTCTCCCCGCGCGCTTCCCACTCCCTCCCCGCGCTTTTCCCGCGCTCTTCCCGTTCCCTCCCCGTTCTCCCCCCGCGCGCTTGTCCCGTGCTCTCCCCGCGCTCTGCGCTCTCCTCGTTCTCTCCCCGTTCTCTCCCCGCGCTCTCCTGGTGGTGCGCAGCATATTCGGCAGCTCGCGACAGCTGGCGCTGGGTCCGACGTCGCTCGTGTCGCTGCTCGTCAACGAAGCCATCAAGTGAGTGCTCGCTGCACCGTCGTGCGTCACACTGCTCCCTCGCTTTCCCTCGCTTTGCTCCTCAACGCCTCCATTCCCTATCCACTCAATTCTCTTTCACCCACTTCCTCCGTCGCCCCTACCCAACCTCTCCCCCCCGTTCCATCCTCTCTCCCCCTCTCCCTTCCCCCTCTCCCCAACCCCCCGCCAACAGGCAGATGGCGGACCCGGACTCGCACGACCCCGCGGAGCAGCGCCTGTACCTGGGCCTCACGCTGCTCCTCTCGCTCATGCTCGGCGCGCTGCAGCTGCTCGCGGGGCTCCTGCGCCTGGGCTGGGTCGTGCGCTTCCTCTCGCACGCCGTGGTGTCGGGCTTCAGTAGCGGCGCGGCCATAATGCTGGGACTCATGCAGATGCGATACTTCCTAGGTTACACCACGCGCCACGAGACCATGCACATGATACTGTATGATATCTTCGTCAATCTCAAGACCACGCACGTGCCCTCGCTCGTTATGGGGGTGCTGGCGCTCGCCTTCCTGCTCATCATGAAGGTGCGCCCTCGCGTGCTCTCCTCCTCCCTTCCACTCTTCCCATCCTCCCCTCTTCTGCCATACCCTAACACTGCTCAAATCGACTTGCGGTTTCCCACCTTCCTTAGAATGTTCTAGCCCCATCCTGCTCTCCCTCTTTCCCCTCCACTTCCCCCACCCGCAGCACCTGGGCAAGCGACAGAAGCGCCTGCGCATTTCACCAATCCTCAACCTTATCCGCGCCTATCCCCCCTCTTTTCCCTCCCCTCCTCCCTTTTTTTTCCCTCTCTCCTTCCCCCTGTCCCCGCCCCCCCCTCTCCCCCAGCACCTGGGCAAGCGCCACCAGCGCCTGCGCATTCTCTGCACTCTCAGTCCCATCCTAGCAGCGGCCATGGGCACGGCGGTGATCTACCTGCTGCGCAACCCCTGGCACATCCGCGTCACCCCTCCCCCGTTCTTCCCCACCCCCCCGTTTCGCCCCCCCTCTCTCTCAGCACCTAGGCAAGCGGCACAAGCGTCTGCGCATCCTGCGAACCCTCGGCCCCATCCTAGCAGCGGCCATGGGCACTGCCGTGATCTACCTGCTGCGCAACCCCTGGCACATCCGCGTCACGGGGCAGGTGCCCTCGGGGCTCCCCGCCGCCTTCTCCGCGTTCCCCTGGGCGCGCTGGCGCGACCTCGTGTCGCCCGCGCTCGTCATCGCCAGTGCGGCTTATCTGGAGACGATTGCCATTGCCAAGACGCTGGCTGCTAAGAATGGGTACTCTGTGGACGCCAACCAGGAGCTCGTTGGTAGGTGGGAGTGTTGCAACGATAACTAGTTGGTGCATGCATGTGCACGTGGGAGGAAGGGTTTGGGGGGAGGGGTTTGAGGGGAAGTGTATGTGGGTGACGTCCCCTGCCCCATTCCAAGCTCTGGGCGTGGCAGATGCTGTGGGGTTGTGCTTCAGCCTTCAGGCCTTGTCATCTTAACAGGCACCAGCTTCTTCCTCGCCCTTCCACTCCCCCAACAGCTCATACCTTTCCCTTCCCTCGCCCTCCCTCGCCTCGCCCTCCCTCGCCCTCCTTCGCCCTCCATCGCCGTCCCCCCTCCCCCCTTTCCCCTCCACGCAGCGCTGGGGCTGGCGAACGCGGTGGGGTCGTGCTTCCAGGCGTTCCCAACGGGGGGCAGCTTCTCGCGGTCAGCCGTGAGCGACGACTGCGGCGCCGCCACCGGCATGGCGGGCGTCGTCTCCGTGCTGCTCGTGCTGCTCACGCTCATCTTCCTCACGCCGCTCTTCCAGTTCCTGCCCCTGCCCGTGCTCGGAGGTGCGTGGTTAGAGGGGGGAGGAGTGGGACATGGGCATGGGGGAAGGAGGGGCGAGGGCTCTGAGGGGTCAGCGGGAAGGCAGGATGGGGACGGAGGAGTGGAGGTATGTGAGTGTGGTCAACATGTGGCGCGCATGCATCTCTGTGCTGCTCACGCTCATGTTCCTCACGCCGCTCTTCCAGTTCCTGCCCCTGCCCGTGCTCGGAGGTACGTTTGGTTTGTGGGGGAGAACAAGGGGGGGGAGGGGGGCGTCGGGACGGGGGTACAGGGGAATGAGTGTGGTGGGTGTGTGGCGTGCATGCATGCATCTCCGTGCTGCTCGTGCTGCTCACGCTCATGTTCCTCACGCCCCTCTTCCAGTTCCTGCCCCTGCCCGTGCTCAGAGTTACGTGTGTGAGGGTGGTGTGGGTGGGGGATAGAGTGACATCTATAAGCATGTGTGCTGCTTGCTCTCCTCATTCCGCTTCCACTTCCTGCCGCTGCCTGTTCTAGGAGGTTCTTGGGTTGATATCCATGCTTATGTGTCCTGCAACGCCATGGGTCTCTTCCCTACCATCACCATTACTATCACTATCGCATCACGTAACACCATCACTATCAACACCACACGAACCTTTCCACTCCCCCCACCCCACCTCACCCCACCCCACCCCGGGCAGCCATCCTGGTGTCATCAGTGTGTGGGCTGGTGGATTACGAGGAGGCGGCCTTCCTGCTGAGAGTGGATCCCAAGGACTTTGTTGTCTGGATGCTCGCCTTCTGTGGCACACTCTTCTTCGGCATCCAGGTGGGTGGGGCTCTGCTGCGTTCAGGTGTGGCTCTTCTGCGTTCAGGTGGGGCTCTGCTGCGTTCAGGTGGGGCTCTGCTGCGTTCAGGTGGGTCTCAGCTGCGTTTAGGTGGGGCTCTGCTGCGTTCAGGTGGGCTCTGCTGCGTTCAGGTGTGGCTCTGCTGCGTTCAGGTGTGGCTCTGCTGCGTTCAGGTGTGGCTCTGTTGCGTTCAGGTTGGGCTCTGCTGCGTTCAGGTGGGGCTCTGCTGCGTTCAGGTGGGGCTCTGCTGCGTTCAGTGGGGCTCTGCTGCGTTCAGGTGGGGCTCTGCTGCGTTCAGGTGGGGCTCTGCTGCGTTCAGGTGGGGCTCTGCTGCGTTGAGGTGGGGCTCTGCTGCGTTCAGGTGGGGCTCTGCTGCGTTCAGGTGTGGCTCTGCTGCTTTCAGGTTGGGCTCTGCTGCGTTCAGGTGGGGCTCTGCTGCGTTCAGGTGGGGCTCTGCTGCGTTCAGGTGGGGCTCTGCTGCGTTCAGATGGGCTCTGCTGCGTTCAGGTGGGGCTCTGCTGCGTTCAGGTGGGGCTCTGCTGCGTTCAGTGGGGCTCTGCTGCGTTCAGGTGGGGCTCTGCTGCGTTCAGGTGGGGCTCTGCTGCGTTCAGTGGGGCTCTGCTGCGTTCAGGTGGGGCTCTGCTGCGTTCAGGTGGGGCTCTGCTGCGTTCAGGTGGGGCTCTGCTGCGTTCAGGTGGGGCTCTGCTGCGTTCAGGTGGGGCTCTGCTGCGTTCAGGTGGGGCTCTGCTGCGTTCAGGTGGGGCTCTGCTGCGTTCAGGTGTGGCTCTGCTGCGTTCAGGTTGGGCTCTGCTGCTTTCAGGTGGGGCTCTGCTGCGTTCAGGTGGGGCTCTGCTGCGTTCAGGGTGGGGCTCTGCTGCGTTCAGGTGGGGCTCTGCTGCGTTCAGGTGGGGCTCTGCTGCGTTCAGGTGGGGCTCTGCTGCGTTCAGGTGGGGCTCTGCTGCGTTCAGGTGGGGCTCTGCTGCGTTCAGGTGGGGCTCTGCTGCGTTCAGGTGTGGCTCTGCTGCGTTCAGGTTGGGCTCTGCTGCTTTCAGGTGGGGCTCTGCTGCGTTCAGGTGGGGCTCTGCTGCGTTCAGGGTGGGGCTCTGCTGCGTTCAGGTGGGGCTCTGCTGCGTTCAGGTGGGGCTCTGCTGCGTTCAGGTGGGGCTCTGCTGCGTTCAGGTGTGGCTCTGCTGCGTTCAGTGGGGCTCTGCTGCGTTCAGGTGGGGCTCTGCTGCGTTCAGGTGGGGCTCTGCTGCGTTCAGGTGGGGCTCTGCTGCGTTCAGGTGGGGCTCTGCTGCGCTCAGAGAAGGTGCCCGAATGCAGCAAAGGCCCATCCCGCTCAGCAGATGAGAATGATGATGCCTTGCACAGAAGGTGAGCATCCTCTGCCTTGCATGCTTAACGAGGCGCCCACCATGCAGTTTGGCTCAGTATAGCTCAGCCGACAAGCGAGTCCGCAGGAAGAGCTCGCTGCCCGCGGGCGAATAAAAAAAACCCCAGTCGGGCATGCATCCGGTCAGGGAGGCATCAACCCTAAACACAGGGAGGCATGGATTTAGGGTTGATGCCTCCCTCGGATGGCATGCCATCCGATGGGGTTTTAGTTTTTTTCTGCCCGCCAGTCAGGTCGACGGTGGTCGACGGCCGTCGGAGCCCGTTTGGTTGAGACACATGGTGAGCATTGCCGCCATCTCACTGCCGCCATCTCACTGCCGCCATCCCACTGCCGTCCCTTAATCCACGCCTCCTTATCTTACCTCCCTCCGTTCTTCCCTGCCCCATACCTTATCATACAGACGGGAGTGATGGTGGCGGTGGTGATATCCCTGGGCTTTGACATAAACGAGTCCGCCAACACACAATGTGAGAAGCGTTGCAGTTCATCAACCCAACCCTCTCGGCCCTCCTCCCTCTGCTCTCCTTCCCTGCCCCACCCCATGCCATGCAGACGGGGGTGATGGTGGCGGTGGTGATATCCCTCGGCTTTGTCATTAACGAGTCGGCCAATGCACAGTGTGAGGAGTATTGCTCTTATCAACCCCTCCCTCTCGTCCCACCCCCTTCCTCCACTCTTCTTCCCTCCACTCTGTGCAGACGGGAGTGATGGTGGCAGTGGTGATATCCCTCGGCTTTGTCATCAACGAGTCGGCCAACGCGCAGTGTGAGGAGCTGGGGCGGCTGCCCGGCACCACAGTGTACCGCACTGTACAGCAGTACCCCGACGCTAAGGTCACCCCTGGGATTGCCGTCATCAAATGCCACTCCCACCTGTAAGACAGCTCTAACCCTTGTTAGCACTCTCTCGCCACTCTCACACCCAGCCTCACTCTTTCTGCACTCCTCATTCCTTAGCGATTTCCCCTGTTCCCTATCCGCCTGTGTGAATTTCCCCCTCATCCCCGCCCTCTCGTTTTCACCCCCCCCCAGGTACTTTGCGAATGTGAGCAACCTGCGGGACGTGCTGAGGCGCTACGAGGGGCTCACCAGCAGAACGCCCCTGCCCGCCCCCAGCCAGGCCACCACCCCCACGCGCTCCCCCCCTGCTGCCACCGCCGCCGCCACTCCTGCTGCCAGCACCCGCACCAGCACCCCCAGCCCTGCCCGGTCCTCCACCAGTCCTAGCAGTCTGGCTCGCCGAGCCAGCGATGGCAGCTTGGACGGCCGCACCAGCAGCTTCAGGAGCGGTGGGAGCAGCAGGGGCGGGGGAGGGGGGAGCGGCAGCAGTGGCGGGAGCGGGGAGTGTGACGTGGAGGAGGGAGGGGGGGCAGGCGAGGCACTAGTATCGCCAGTAGAATCATCAGGAAGGGAACAGCAGGAGGGGAGAGGAGCGACAGCAAAGGGGAGAGCACCGGGTGCAGCGAACGTGCCAATAGAGTATGTGATTATAGACATGACGTCAGTGCATGCAGTGGACTCAGCAGCATGCCATGCGCTGAGAGAGATCTGCCTGGAGTACCAGGCGAGAGGGGTGCGCCTGGCTCTTGCCAACCCCAGTGATGCTGTCATGCAGAGACTCACACGGGCGGGGATCCCGGACCTGATCGGGCGGCAGTGGTTCTTTGTCCGTATCTTTGATGCCGTGCAGCTCTGTAAGGCTGACATGGCGTGCCGGCACGCTGCGGCCTCTGGTGCGCTGCCACCTGGCGGGTTTATGGTTGCTGACGTGGAGCAGCAGAGGGTGGGGCAGCAACGGCAGCAGCTGCAGCAGCAGCAGCAGCAGCAGCAGCGCAGTGTGCTGGTGCGGCCACGCTCGTTTTCCGAGGACGTCCGGGTGGTTGCTCGGCCTGCACAGGCAGATGGGCGGGTGGACAGAGGTGTGCGGGGTGGGGGGAGGGACAGACAGAGTGACGGACAGGGGCAGGTGGCAGGGGGAGGGAGGGGACGGACAGTGACGTGGGGCGTGCAGGGGCCAAGAGCACAGGGGGCAACAGAGAGAAGCAGTGGGGAGGGGGTAGATGGGGCGGATAGGGTGGGAGTGGGTATAGGATCAGTGGTTGGGTCAACAGCAGGGAGGGGTAGGGGGTCAGAGGGCGGTGGCAAGGATGGGGGCATGGCAGGGTGGCCGGAGGAGGAGGAGTTTCCTGGCAGCCCCGACTATGGCATTGTCATGCCTGCTGGGGGCATTGCTGCCGCCGCTGCCTCCACTGCCGCTGCTGTGCTGGCAGAGGCAGGGCCAGGTGAGGGGGACGGGGAAGGTTCATCGGCGGGCATGGGTGTGGCGTCGCCTGAGTTTCCACCTCTGGATGGGTTTGACGCGCATGCGTTTTCAGCGCCTGAAGTGATGCAGTCCGAGTATGTGCTGGCGGATGCGGACGAGGAAGAGTCGGAGTGGGTGAGAATACGACGGGATAGGAAGAGGAGGGAGAAACATTCAAGGGCTAGGCCGGATGAAGAGGGGGAGAGCGCTGGGCAAGATGAGGCTGATGAAGATAGCCGCCCTACTTGCCCTGTGTGCCATGGCTTTCTGCCATTGGCTGATGGCCAGACGCCAGATTATGAGCCTAGCCATGTCCTTGTGGATTATTGTGTTTGCTTTAGTGACTAACCTGACATGTACACTTGATTATTACTCGTTTAATAAGAGATGTTTTTCACGCACCCTAGGGATCGGTGTGCTGCCGCTACTTGAGGTGGCGAAAGAAAGTTTTCGGTTAGCGAAAGCGAATGCGATTAATCTAGGCCATCGCTTTGCTGCAAGATCTTTTCCGACACACGCCAGATCTTTGACGGTGACCCTACAGTTCCGTTTGTTTGTGAAGACCGCTTCCGTCAAGACAGCGACACATCTCTGTCCAGCTGTACAACAGTACGGCACAAAAGAATCGTCTGATTGGTGGAGACGTTTCGGTCTGTCCCCTTCCAAAAAAACCACCAATTTGATTTGGCTGGTTAGCCATCCCATGTGAGACCAAAGGCGACCCGGCAGCAAAGCACCGAATTCCTCCGAAAACGTGACGTACTGTACCCTTCTTCCGTGCAGTTTCCTCTCACAGCTTCCACAGTCCCTGCGATATCACTCGCTCACCAGCTCGGCGAAATAATTCGCAAAGGTCGAATGTAACTGCCTTTCCCTCAATACCATTCGAGGAAACTGCATTCGCCTGTGACTCGTCCTTCTACGAACCAGGCGACGAAACCATTTGACGAAGAATGCCATACTTTCGCCAGTGTTTTGAGAAATCTGACGCCCTCACTTCCACCATTTTCTCCCGCACCTCGCGGCACGCTTGAACAGCCCACACCTTTCGTCGCTCGCCATTTGCTGTCATCACCTCACCACCGTCCCGCTTCTCCGCTTGTCCCACCTGTGTTCTCTTGGTCCAGCCACACCCACACAACCGCAGGTTAGGTGCAGCCTTGTTGCTCTGCCACCCACACGCAGTATTCACAAGTTTAGGGCTTTGGTCGTTGGAATTCGCGTTTGTGTTTATCGTCGCTAGTGCATGGATGACGGAATCCACTCTTTGCGTGCCTCGCATGTCACCCCATCACCACCGCGCCGCACACTACGGCGACCCCGCCTCCCCGCATTACGCCCATTCGTCCCAGTCGCCAGGGCAGTCGCTGCCGCGTTCTGATTCGTCGCCTTCGTCGCACATCAGTCGTCGTTCTCATGTCGCCCCTCGCGTCGATTCGCCCGTCGCGCCGCTCTTGCTGGCCTCGTCACAATCCTCCCCTATGCTCGAGTCGCCTTCCGCCCTTCACGATAACGTATCAGTAGCCTGGCCTCATCAAGCGCGCCCCCGTTCCGAGCCGCTCCCCTCCGGCGCACAAATGATCGGGGTCGAGGCGCCTCGACATCAGATGATCGGCAAGCGCCGAATGCGGGGGAGCACCGCGCCGCGCGTGGTGATTCTGCCGCCCATGAAGCAAATCAAGATCGAGCCGGCGCGCATCGTCAGCGTCGACGTGCCTGGCGGAAAGGCTCTTGTGGGGGAGGTGATATCCGGGCCGGATGCTGCCGCCATTGACGTGTCAGTTCCTGCTTGGTCCGCGGCTGTGCCCCAGTCGCTCATCCACCCGGTCCCTCCGCCACCGCACGAGGCACCGCTCTCCGCATCCACCGCATCCCCCGCCCCCGTTACGCCGTGCGCCCCCCCTGCGCCTGTTTCCGCCGCCGCCTCATCCCACCGCTGCCCTCCGCCAAGCTTTCAGGAGCTCGCGGCGCGCACCCCCCGGTACAAGGGCGTTCGCCAGCGCAAGTGGGGACGGTGGGTGTCGGAGATCCGCGAACCACGGCGCCGATCGCGCATCTGGCTTGGTTCATACTCGAGCGCGGAAGAAGCGGCGCGCGTGTACGACATGGCGGCGCGGATGCTGCGAGGCGACGCGGCGGGGAGTCTCAACTTCCCCGACAGCCACCAGGACGTGCCGCTGCCGCCCGCCATCGCCGAGTCGCTCGTCCGCGTCTGCCAGGAGATCGCGGAGGACGCGGCTCGCGCAAGCGGGGAAGGTGGCGGAGGAGTGGGGGGAGGGGCAGGGGAAAGGCCGTTCCGTGCGGAACCTTTGTCGTCCGATTCGTTGCCAGAGGAGGAGTCGGACAGCAATCCGACGGCTGTGCAGGCAGCAAGCAGCTGCGGCGCGGGTAGCGTGTTCTGCGCGCGCTCCGCGCCCACCACCGAGATCTCCAGCCACGTGTCGCCGCTCTCCCTCGCTTCCGCCACCCGTCCCGCCACCTCTGCCGCGTTTCGCGTCTCCGCTGCGAATGTGTCCCCCCCAAGCTTTCCCCCGCCCAGCGCACGGCCGTTCTCCGCTCCTTGCTTTCCCCCCATGGTGGAAATCCCGCCGCAAAAGGCGTCTCCAGATGTGATCGTGCTCCCGGACTCGCCACCAGCAGAGACGGCGGAGATTGAGGATCGAGCTGATGGCGACGCGGCAATGCGCGGATCGCGCATGACTCCCGCGGACTGCACCGCTCGCCCGCGCAGCGTGCACGTGAGCAGCAGCGGTGGCTCCACGGATGACCCTCCTGCCGCTCCCCCTGCGCCCCGCCCTTCACCTCTTCCCTCCACTTCCGCGGCCAACACTACCCCCACTACCGCCACACCTGCCCCCCCCAGGGCTGCTGCTGCGGCTACACCGGGTGTGCCTGCTGGTGCAGCGAGTGTGGCGGCAGCGGTGGGTGTGCCTGCGAGCGCGTCCCCCAGTGCGCGTGCCCCCACGGCAGCAGTGCACGCGCTGGCGCAGCTGCTCTCCTCCCTCGCTGCCCTCGGCTCCGCGCTCTCGCTTCCATCGCCTGCCGTCCCGCCAAGCAACAGCAGCAACACTGCGCATTCGCTCGGGAACGACGGCCAGGCGCCAGGCAGCACCATTCAGGCAGCAGGCGGGCATGTTCAGGTGGCAGGGAACAACAATCAAGTGCCCGGCAGCAGTGGGAGCCTTCTGGGCGCGGCAGCAGCACGGGAGCAGCTGATGCGCATTCTGCAGTCACCCCTGTTACAGTCACACCGTGTGCTTGCTGCTGGCGGGCAGGGGGGGCCTGATGGACATGCGCAGCAGCAGCAGCAGCAGCAGCATGAGCCGCCTTTCCAGTTCCTGCCTCCTAGTGCTGCTGCCAGCAACATAGCTGCGAGTGACATAGTTGGTGGGAACACGCAGGTGCCTCCGCCCGCTGCCGAATGGCCCGCATCGCCCCCGCCACCCCTCCACGGCTCCACACCTGCTGGCCTGCTCCGCACATCCCACCCCTCTCCCCCTCCCCAGCCTCCCCTGGTTGTTCCCCCTGCGTCTCCCCAGCCCCCCTGCACCGCTCCCCCTCCTCATCCCCCTTGCAGTGCGCCCCCAGCGTCCCCCAGCCCGTACAGCAGCGCCTTTGACTTCGAGCCGCTGCTGCTGCTGGCAGGCGACGAGGGGGAGGGGGGTGAGGGGCAGAGGGGGGAGGCTGCACCTGGGGAGGGCGTAGGTGCGCTGGAGTACGGGCAGGAGGAGGAGGGAGGGGAAGGGGAGGAGAGGAGTGTGCATGCGGCCATGGCTGCTGCAGCAGCGGCTGCAGTGGAGGCGAGTGAGCAACACGGGCAGGGAGGGGGCATGGACCGTGCAGTGTCAGCCACAGCAGAGCAGTTCCACATGTGGCAGCAGCAGCTGTGGGAGCTGTAGCATGCTCTTCTCTCTGCTCCCCTGCTCTTGCGCTGATGGGACTTGTGAATCTCATGAGTCAGCGTTTGCCGGAGCAGGAGCAGCTCTGCTGATGTCATGTCACGATCCGCAGGCTACAGTCTGCAGGGCGTTAAGTGTTAAAGTTCCCTCTCTCTTTTGTTTTCATTATGTGTGTTCTGTTTGCTGCTCGACAGGCCTCACCCGATACCATGCACCTCCGCTTCAAGGCCCCTCTGCTTTATCTACCAGGGGCTGGCCTTCGCTTGAAGGGAATCCCGTATAGCCACACATCTCTGACTCTGGCTATGTGATGTTGGAGTTCCTTCAAGTGTTGTGGAGGCCCATGCTATCTGGTGATGCCCATTTGAAACTTTTGCTTGCATGTCGTGAACCATTTATTTATATATTTCCTGAGTCTTATTTTTTTTCTAATGCTTATCGTCGTGTCCTCATAGCGTTAGAGTGAGCGGATTTTACATAAGGAAAGGCAAGAGTATATTTTAATATGTATTGTAATTCAGTTGTCAAAATTTGTTTTAGGCACACTGTTGTATTCTTCGCATTGACTGCTTTTGGAGGTCTATATAATCACAGCCTTGTGGCGAGGCCTAGCTAGTTTGGGTCAACTCAACTCCCAGCCACACAGCACACTTCCTGACGTGCGCGCTGAAGATGCACCCGCCAGGCCAGAAAAGCGGATCTCTTCCACGGGGTCGTCACTGTTGCAGACAGATAGGGGAGCGAATCTGACGTGGCGCTGTGAGCCTTTTTGAGCCACTTCTCCTCGCCTTCATCTGGTTTGTTTGGCTTTCCCAGAACCAGCAGACTTGTCCGCAGAGAAATTTTCGCAGTGCATCAGTTTAGTGACGACCAGACGAGAACACATCGCCGCCATGGCTCTCAGGTCAGTGTGTTGGCCTCACTTTCTCTTGCAATTTAGTGTTGCGCAGTGTTGTGAAAGCGACGGTTTGTGCTGTGCAGAGTGTTCGCGTCGCAGGCCGCCACATCTTTGAGGGTTCGTTGCCTTCCAGCAACTGAGACCCTCATCGCTCCCTTCTGGCGATCCTTCGCTTCTGGTGAGTTTACATTTCTTCATCAGCAACATAATCTAAGTAGAACTTTGACATCCATAACAGGGAATTATGATCTCGTGCTGCAGCTGCGGAGAACCGGAAGTACTTGAAATCACATGAATGGGTCGAAGTGAACGGCGAGGTCGGAACAGTCGGCATCTCAGATTTCGCCCAAGTGAGTAGTGACATGGCATTTTGATTACGAATCTATTTGATTCAAAACGACATAGACTGAGAATATTCTTTGCCTGGCAGAATGAGCTGGGCGAGCTCGTGTTCGTGGACATGCCGAAGGCCGGCACGCAGGTCAGCAAGGGACAAACGTTCGGCGTGGTGGAGAGCGTGAAAGCCGCCAGTGACGTGTACTCGCCCGTCACTGGGGAGGTTGTTGAGACGAACGAGGAGCTCGGCAGCAACCCTGCTCTGGTGAGTCTCACGCATCTGTCTTCCCGCATTTAACAAGAGCGAATTGCGGAACAGGAGGAGGATTACACTGCGTTCCCTATCTCCGTTCTTCCCGTGCGACATTGTGCTGACTGTCCATCCCTTGCGTCAGGTGAATACCTCTCCCTTCGCTGATGGGTGGATCATGAAGGTGAAGATTGCCAACCCTGCAGAGCTGAACGACTTGCTTGATGATGACGCTTACAACAAGCACTGCGAGGCTTCAGCACACTAAAAACCTGGCCTTTCCTTCAAATTAGCCTTGGCATGCAGTAATTTCATTGTTACCGGTATGCCACAGTAATGTGATTTGCCATTCTTCATGGTCCCTCACACCTGACACGGCATGACAGAGCAGCACCCTGGTACAGAAACACTCCAATTTCAGAGTCCGCTTTGAGGAATATCGAAAGTGGAAGAACCGTAGAGAAGTTTATTGCTCCGACTATGTTTTACAGTGTAAATTCCATGTAATTTGTACACATTTTCCAGGACATCGGTTCCTTCACATTATATAATTTCTGGGGAAGGTTTGGATGAGGAGAGTCTACGCCTATGTACTCCAACTATCATAAACGCATAAGAACAGGGAGCAACGCCCAGCATACCATTAGCTCATTGCTTGTTTCGGGTCACGCAGCAAACCTTGTGGAACCTGTTTGCGATATTATGTGACACGTGAAGTTTTGAACCAATCAGCAGATATGGAGTTTTACCATTGGTTCACACCGTTTGTTTTCTCGCCCTTTATTGGTGTTGTTGCGACAGCTCGAATGGGGTTGACTCTCCCGCTTTCACTTTACACAAAATGCTCGATGAGCGACGTCTGGCAGTGACGTGGCCGGCGCTGGGCGCAGAACGAGGCGTGGTACTTGCCTTGGGTGTTCTGTTGCCACCTCGATCGCACGCGCGCCAGACCTTCAACCTCCAGTCAGCTTCGTTCCCCCCAGTTCCCAGAAACCTACATCGCCCCTCCTCCCCGCGCGCGCTGATCACTGACGGTTGTCGCGAACACATGTGTCGGTGTTTAGTTCCATCGTCCAATCACAGCACGCGATTATGCATCTGCGCTTCCCCGTGCTCCACCCTCTCCCTGCAATTTGTTCCCCCACCCCCACCCGTCACGACTCGCTTCCGCCCGTTCCCCCCCATCACAGGTTCACCGCCTTTGCGTCTGCATCATCGCGGCTCGTCTCTCCTCAACACCACGCACCAGCCATGTCTCTGCGTCCCCCTTCAAAGCACGTGAATGGCGAGTTTTTTTCGAGTTCATTGGTAGTTAGTGCGAAATTCACTCCTCCGCCTCCTTCATCGTCTGTGCGAATCGTTGTCATCGCGCAAATCGCACCGATGGCGGTCAGGGCACTGCACTCCTCCATCCACCTAGCCACCTTCCCACAAGCGAGTCGACCGGCACACAATCTTCGAAGCTCTTCGCTTCCCTCCTCCGCATTCGTCCATTTAAAATCCAAGCGGAGTTCCGCTGCCTCCGCTCGTCGCGTCCATTCACGCTCCTACTGTCAGCGAAAACCCGTGGTCGCGTCGCATGGCTCGTCAGCAGACGGTCCGTCTGCAGCGGCGCCGTCACCACCACGTCGAACTCCTCAGCCGTCAGCGGCAGCGGATCTGCCATCACATGCCACGAGCCACGAAAAGCTCGCTAGAGCTGCGGAATGGCTGCGAAAGGCGGCGACGGGAGCCGTGGTCGGAGCGGCGGCTGCGGCGGTGCTTTTAGTCGGGATTCCCGCTCCGTCAGTTGCGGAGAGCTTGCTAAGCGGCGAGACGACGGATGTGCTGATGAGCGACGCGGCGATGGGCGTGGAGGAGGAGGACGGCGTGCTCACTCTCATCGTGCCTCGACCGCACATCACTGGGGTACGTGCCCGCTTGTCACGGGTAATATTTCACACTGTTTGAACGGTCGAGGTTACATGATTGTGAGGTGACGAGTTGGTTCCCGGAGAATCGAGAACAACGAAGTGAAATTACCTTGGGCCGGCTTTGCCGGCGTATTAGCGCCGTAGATAGGCGCATCGCGCGCTCCGCTCTTCTCTTTCGCTGCTTCGCGATGCGTTTCACATGATCACACGACTGCTCGCTCTCAGTTTCCGCGCTCTCCCCATCGACGAGGGCACAGCACGTCGGCTCATATCCCTCGCCCCATCTCCCTCTCTCATTCTGCGCCCCCTCCCCACCCATATCCCCCCCCCCGCGGCGGCGCAGGTGGAGGCGGCGCAGCGGACGATGGTGGAGGCGTGGGGGATCGTGCGCGAGGCGTTCGTCGACCCCACCTTCAACCACCAGGACTGGGACCGCCGCCTCGCCGCCGCCATCCGCGGCAGCGTCTCGGCGGGCAGCGCGGACGACGCGTACGCGCTCGTGCACGACATGCTGGCGACGCTGGGCGACCCGTTCACTCGCCTGGTGTCGCCCAGCGACTACGACAGCTTCCGCGTGAGCAGCGACGGCGGGCTCGAGGGCGTGGGGCTGCTGCTCGCCTCCGACACCACCGACGGCCGCCTGGTGCGCTCCGCTCCCCCGTTTCCCCGCGCGCTGCCTTCCTGACTTGAGCGCACATCCGCCGTTCCTCTCGCCCGCGCGAACATCCGACGATCCCTCTTGACCCGCTTCCTCTCGCCCACCGTTCACACCACGTGCTCCCCTCCCTCACCCTTCCCCCCCTCCTTTCCCGCTTCCCCCTTTCACCCCCGCCCTTGTCGCCCGCGCAGCTGGTGCTGTCGCCCATCGAGGGCGGCCCCGCGGATCGGGCGGGCATCCACACGGGCGACGAGGTCGTCGCCGTCGACCGTACGTTGCCCCTTCCGCGCCCCTTCCCCGCTGCTCGCCCCTCACCCGCGCTTTCTTCCTCCCCCGCTGCTCTCCACTCCTGCTCCTTTCCCCGAATCGCTTCCCGTAGCTCTTGTTGTTCCCCTTCCTGTGGCTTTCAGCGAACCCTGCCGGCCACACCACGCCGCTCCCTTGCAGCTGCCCGTTGCTGCTCCCCTTGTGCCCGCACTCCTGCTGATCCATTAACTATCCCCGTCTGCCCTCACCCGCGGCCCCGCAGACTCCCCGTTAAGCGGCATGAGCGGGCAGGAGGCGGCGAATCTGCTGCGAGGCAAGGCGGGCACAGCAGTCACGCTCACCGTGCGCCCCGCTGTAAGTCCGCCACGCATCCTCGTTACAATCCGTCTCATTGCTGTTTCTGTCGTTGTTTACTGCGGTCTGTGCCCGCCACATGCCCTCACATGCTGATCCGGCCCTGTGCTACAGAGAGCTGACGTGGACGGCTCTGATTCGCCGGAGGGAACGACGGACATCATATTGAGGAGGGAGCCGATAGCTCTGTCGCCCGTGTACGCGACGGCGCTGCCCCACCACACGGAGCAGGGCGCGGCCACGTCCACGGGGTACATCCGCCTCGCCTCCTTCTCTCAGGTGCGCCCCCTCATCTGCCCTCGCCTCCTTGCCCTGCTCCAGCCCCACCACCGCTCAGTGCTCGTTAGATTTTATTTCTTTCTGGTGCACTGGAGATCCCTTGTGTCTGATCTCCCTTGTTTCTTTCTCCCATCCCATCCCATCCCATCCCATCCCACCGCAACCCATGCCATGCGGCTCCAGAACGCAGCGGAGGACATGGCGAGGGCGATAGAGCGGTTGGAGGGCGAGGGCGTGGCCAACTACATACTCGACCTGCGCAACAACCCCGGCGGCCCTAGCCTGCCCTCGCCCATTCTATCACATCGCATCCCGTTCCATCCCATCCCATCCCATGTGATCTCACCCCACGACATGTCACATTCCCCCTGCCTCACGTCTGCCAGAACGCGGCAGAGGACATGGCGAGGGCGATAGAGCGGTTGGAGGGCGAGGGCGTGGCCAACTACATACTCGACCTGCGCAACAACCCCGGCGGCCTCGTGCACGCCGGGCTCGACGTCGCACGCATGTGGCTCGGCTCGGGCGCCACGCTCGTCAACACGGTTGATCGCACCGGGGCAGTGGAGGCCATTGCGCTGCGGAATTCTCGTGCGCTCACAGACCGGCCGCTGGCTGTGCTGGTGAACCACGGGAGTGCGAGCGCGAGTGAGATTGTGGCGGGTGCCCTGCATGACAACGGGCGGGCGACGCTGGTGGGGGACACGACGTACGGCAAGGGGCGCATTCAGACGGTGTTTGAGCTCACGGATGGGTCGGCGCTGTTTGTCACGGTCGCCAAGTACCTCTCGCCTGCCATGCACGCCATTGATCAAGTCGGCGTTGCTCCTGACCTTGCTTGCTCTCTCCCCACTCTGCAGCCCCTACCCACCTCCGCCTCCGCCTCTGCTTCTGCTGCTGCCCCTGTTGCTGCTCCGGGCATGCTCTCTGGTCCACTGGGTCCAAGGCAGCAGGAGGCGGCGCTGCCGGGGGGAGGGGTGGGGGGAGGGCGGGCGGTGGTGGTGGAGGAGGAGGTGTTTGGGGCGGAGCTGCAGCGCGATAGCTGTGTGCTCACTGCTGAGAGGCAGCTCGACCGCCATGCCTGATGGAGGGGCCCAGGCGGGAGGGGCTGCGGAGCGAGGAGAGGCTAAGGGGAGGAGGTGAGGAGGTAGGAGGAGGTGAGGCCATTAAAGGCTGGTAAGTATTGTACAGATTAGATTGCTGGTGGCTTGGAGTGTGTCCTGGCCGCTGGAAATGGAGGGCTTTCGTTGTGCATTCGTGTAGATAATGGGCTTCACTGCTTGTTGCTTCGATTTGATTGTTGTGTTGTGTGCGTTTGTGGCTTATGTATAGCTGTGTGAATAGTCGTGAGCATAGGTGTCAGGCTTGCTGTGTATAGATAGTCCATATTGCTTGCAGGTGGTGAGTTGTTTAGCCTTTGAGATCCATTAAATTTTACTACCGTATCACTGTTATTTGACCATGGTATGAACACAAAAAAAAGAGTATGGGGAGGTTAGAGAAATGAATATAAAAAACGAAATGCAAAATTCAGCTATAATGACAAGGAAGGAGTTTGGAAAGAAAGATGGAAGTGGAAGAAGCAAAAGGGAATTTAGAAAGAGAAGGGCAGGCGCACATGGTTGGGGTTGTCGGTGCGCTGTAGGTTCCTCACTCCATGGCTGCTTAGACAAGGTGTTAAGTATCCTGGGTGATTAAATGAAGAAGTTGTACTCTGATAGGGTAGGATAACAATCATATGAAATGTTAGTGATTCGAATATTGGCTGGAAAAATATTATCATATTGGGTGTGAGACATCAACAGCTTCCCATCAACCATTTTATTTTCATTATAGCCCCTGAATCTTACCATTCGATCGCTGGGGGATATGTGCGACCCATCACAAAAGCATCTGTCAGGGACATGGCTGTTTCCCGCGCAAACGGCGAGAGTACCGCGATGCGAGTATGAGTAACTTGTTTACAAAACCGGTCACACTTTGCGAACCAAACCTCCCGCAAGCGAAAGGCCAATTGTTCTGGTTCACGAAACCGAGGGCATCCGCTTACGCTACGGCGGCCTCAAGCGGAGTAGGGGAAGGGGAATGGCTGCCTTCGTCGCATCTCTCCCACGTCCATGTAAATCTCCCTTCACCACTCTGGATCGCTCCGGAAAACCGGCATTGCTCCACTGAACCCCTCTTACACCACTGCTTTGTGATTCTCCTAGTATTATTCATTTTCATTTTCGAGCTTTCCTGAACTCGCGCTGACTCATAGACGTCAGGCTCGTTCGGTTCCCTGGAATCCATGGCTGTCGCCTGAAGTTCCATGCTTACCAACCATTAATGAGGTCTTATTCTTATTCGTAGTCCACCCCCCATTTAAATGTGTCCTCTAGCTTTGTTCGGAGCACCTTTGTTCGAGTTTCATGGCCTCTGATGCCGGGACTCTTCAAGCCTCAGCTCGTTTCGTCGGCAATCCATGGCTGTCGACTTCCATCTACGATAATTGTTTCCCAAGCGCAATTATAATCGTATCTGTTACTCTCCCCGGCTATGCTACTAGACATTCAGAACAGTTCGATTAGCACTAGCAGACTCTCCTCGTTCAATACTGAGCAGCTCGTTTTACGATGCTCCATGGTGATCATTGATCGTAGCATTCGGTCCTTTTTGGAAAATACCATTGATAATTTACCGCTGACGGTAGTCGGAGACGGTTCGCAAGGCTTTGCGACGTCGTATCGCCGTTCAAGTGCACGTCGTGTTTCAGGCTGCGACGATAACGCCGTCTAAATTCAACGTCTACAGCAGCGGCGCCTCTCCCTCACAGCCCCCAACAGCAGCGGCGCCTCTCCCTCACAGCCCCCCACAGCAGCGGCGCCTCTCCCTCACAGCCCTCCACAGCAGCGGCGCCTCTCCCTCACAGCCCTCCACAGCAGCGGCGCCTCTCCCTCACAGCCCTCCACAGCAGCGACGCCTCTCCATCACAGCCCTCCACAGCAGCGGCGCCTCTCCCTCACAGCCCCCCACAGCAGCGGCGCCTCTCCCTCACAACCCCCCAGAGCAGCGGCGCCTCTCCCTCACAGCCCCCCACAGCAGCGGCGCCTCTCCCTCACAGCCCTCCACAGGAGCGGCGCCTCTCCCTCACAGCCCCCCACAGCAGCGGCGCCTCTCCCTCACAGCCCCCCAGAGCAGCGGCGCCTCTCCCTCACAGCCCCCCACAGCAGCGGCGCCTCTCCCTCACAGCCCTCCACAGCAGCGGCGCCTCTCCCTCACAGCCCTCCACAGGAGCGGCGCCTCTCCCTCACAGCCCCCCACAGCAGCGGCGCCTCTCCCTCACAGCCCTCCACAGGAGCGGCGCCTCTCCCTCACAGCCCCCCACAGCAGCGGCACCTCTCCCTCACAGCCCCCCAGAGCAGCGGCGCCTCTCCCTCGTCCCCCTCCGCAGCAGCGGCGCCTCTCCCTCACAGCCCCCCGCAGCAGCGGCGCCTCTCCCTCACAGCCCTCCGCAGGAGCGGCGCCTCTCCCTCACAGCCCCCCACAGCAGCGGCGCCTCTCCCTCACAGCCCCCCAGAGCAGCGGCGCCTCTCCCTCACAGCCCTCCACAGCAGCGGCGCCTCTCCCTCACAGCCCTCCACAGGAGCGGCGCCTCTCCCTCACAGCCCCCCACAGCAGCGGCGCCTCTCCCTCACAGCCCCCCAGAGCAGCGGCGCCTCTCCCTCACAGCCCCCCACAGCAGCGGCGCCTCTCCCTCACAGCCCCCCACAGCAGCGGCGCCTCTCCCTCACAGCCCTCCACAGCAGCGGCGCCTCTCCCTCACAGCCCCCCACAGCAGCGGCGCCTCTCCCTCACAGCCCCCCACAGCAGCGGCGCCTCTCCCTCACAGCCCTCCACAGCAGCGGCGCCTCTCCCTCACAGCCCCCCAGAGCAGCGGCGCCTCTCCCTCACAGCCCTCCACAGCAGCGGCGCCTCTCCCTCACAGCCCTCCACAGCAGCGGCGCCTCTCCCTCACAGCCCCCCACAGCAGCGGCGCCTCTCCCTCACAGGCCCCCACAGCAGCGGCGCCTCTCCCTCACAGCCCCCCACAGCAGCGGCGCCTCTCCCTCACAGCCCTCCACAGGAGCGGCGCCTCTCCCTCACAGCCCCCCACAGCAGCGGCGCCTCTCCCTCACAGCCCTCCACAGGAGCGGCGCCTCTCCCTCACAGCCCCCCACAGCAGCGGCGCCTCTCCCTCACAGCCCTCCACAGCAGCGACGCCTCTCCCTCACAGCCCTCCACAGGAGCGGCGCCTCTCCCTCACAGCCCCCCACAGCAGCGGCGCCTCTCCCTCACAGCCCCCAACAGCAGCGGCACCTCTCCCTCACAGCCCCCCACAGCAGCGGCGCCTCTCCCTCACAGCCCCCCACAGCAGCGGCGCCTCTCCCTCACAGCCCTCCACAGCAGCGGCGCCTCTCCCTCACAGCCCTCCACAGCAGCGGCGCCTCTCCATCACAGCCCTCCACAGCAGCGGCGCCTCTCCCTCACAGCCCCCCACAGCAGCGGCGCCTCTCCCTCACAGCCCCCCACAGCAGCGGCGCCTCTCCCTCACAGCCCTCCACAGCAGCGGCGCCTCTCCCTCACAGCCCCCCAGAGCAGCGGCGCCTCTCCCTCACAGCCCTCCACAGCAGCGGCGCCTCTCCCTCACAGCCCTCCACAGGCGCGGCGCCTCTCCCTCACAGCCCCCCACAGCAGCGGCGCCTCTCCCTCACAGCCCCCCACAGCAGCGGCGCCTCTCCCTCACAGCCCTCCACAGCAGCGGCGCCTCTCCCTCACAGCCCCCTAGAGCAGCGGCGCCTCTCCCTCACAGCCCTCCACAGCAGCGGCGCCTCTCCCTCACAGCCCCCCACAGCAGCGGCGCCTCTCCCTCACAGGCCCCCACAGCAGCGGCGCCTCTCCCTCACAGCCCTCCACAGGAGCGGCGCCTCTCCCTCACAGCCCTCCACAGGAGCGGCGCCTCTCCCTCACAGCCCCCCACAGCAGCGGCGCCTCTCCCTCACAGCCCCCCACAGCAGCGGCGCCTCTCCCTCACAGCCCTCCACAGCAGCGACGCCTCTCCCTCACAGCCCTCCACAGCAGCGACGCCTCTCCCTCACAGCCCTCCACAGGAGCGGCGCCTCTCCCTCACAGCCCCCCACAGCAGCGGCGCCTCTCCCTCACAGCCCCCCACAGCAGCGGCGCCTCTCCCTCACAGCCCCCCACAGCAGCGGCGCCTCTCCCTCACAGCCCTCCACAGCAGCGGCGCCTCTCCCTCACAGCCCTCCACAGCAGCGGCGCCTCTCCATCACAGCCCTCCACAGCAGCGGCGCCTCTCCATCACAGCCCTCCACAGCAGCGGCGCCTCTCCCTCACAGCCCCCCACAGCAGCGGCGCCTCTCCCTCACAGCCCCCCACAGCAGCGGCGCCTCTCCCTCACAGCCCTCCACAGCAGCGGCGCCTCTCCCTCACAGCCCCCCAGAGCAGCGGCGCGTCTCCCTCACAGCCCTCCACAGGCGCGGCGCCTCTCCCTCACAGCCCCCCACAGCAGCGGCGCCTCTCCCTCACAGCCCCCCACAGCAGCGGCGCCTCTCCCTCACAGCCCTCCACAGCAGCGGCGCCTCTCCCTCACAGCCCTCCACAGCAGCTGCGCCTCTCCCTCACAGCCCCCCACAGCAGCGGCGCCTCTCCCTCACAGCCCTCCACAGCAGCGGCGCCTCTCCCTCACAGCCCTCCACAGGCGCGGCGCCTCTCCCTCACAGCCCCCCACAGCAGCGGCGCCTCTCCCTCACAGCCCCCCACTGCAGCGGCGCCTCTCCCTCACAGCCCTCCACAGCAGCGGCGCCTCTCCCTCACAGCCCCCCAGAGCAGCAACGCCTCTCCCTCACAGCCCTCCACAGCAGCGGCGCCTCTCCCTCACAGCCCTCCACAGCAGCGGCGTCTCTCCCTCACAGCCCCCCACAGCAGCGGCGCCTCTCCCTCACAGCCCCCCACAGCAGCGGCGCCTCTCCCTCACAGCCCTCCACAGGAGCGGCGCCTCTCCCTCACAGCCCCCCACAGCAGCGGCGCCTCTCCCTCACAGCCCTCCACAGGAGCGGCGCCTCTCCCTCACAGCCCCCCAGAGCAGCGGCGCCTCTCCCTCACAGCCCCCCACAGCAGCGGCGCCTCTCCCTCACAGCCCCCCACAGCAGCGGCGCCTCTCCCTCACAGCCCTCCACAGGAGCGGCGCCTCTCCCTCACAGCCCCCCACAGCAGCGGCGCCTCTCCCTCACAGCCCTCCACAGCAGCGGCGCCTCTCCCTCACAGCCCTCCACAGGAGCGGCGCCTCTCCCTCACAGCCCCCCACAGCAGCGGCGCCTCTCCCTCACAGCCCCCAACAGCAGCGGCACCTCTCCCTCACAGCCCTCCACAGCAGCGGCGCCTCTCCCTCACAGCCCTCCACAGCAGCGGCGCCTCTCCCTCACAGCCCTCCACAGCAGCGGCGCCTCTCCCTCACAGCCCCCCAGAGCAGCGGCGCCTCTCCCTCACAGCCCTCCACAGGAGCGGCGCCTCTCCCTCACAGCCCCCCACAGCAGCGGCGCCTCTCCCTCACAGCCCTCCACAGCAGCGGCGCCTCTCCCTCACAGCCCCCCACAGCAGCGGCGCCTCTCCCTCACAGCCCTCAGGAGCGGCGCCTCTCCCTCACAGCCCCCCAGAGCAGCGGCGCCTCTCCCTCACAGCCCTCCACAGGAGCGGCGCCTCTCCCTCACAGCCCTCCACAGGAGCGGCGCCTCTCCCTCACAGCCCTCCACAGGAGCGGCGCCTCTCCCTCACAGCCCCCCACAGCAGCGGCGCCTCTCCCTCACAGCCCCCCAGAGCAGCGGCGCCTCTCCCTCACAGCCCCCCAGAGCAGCGGCGCCTCGCCCTCGCAACAGGGGTAGTGCACCTGCTGTGTTTGCGACTTACAGACATGCGTATTATGGTACCCTGCTTTGTTTGATTTGAGAAAGCTTTGTTTTATTTGAGAAAGCTAATTTCTCGTTCACATTTTCCCCTCATTCTACTGATTTTTTATAAGCAGCACAGCTGCTTGTGCTCTAGAAACACCTTCAATTGAAACGTCCAACTTAGGCACTACTGAAACACAATCCACACGAACCACAAGGCACAACAGCACCCGCCTTCAACCACACGACCTTCCCCAGCATCATCTCCCCTTGCCTCCCTTTCCCTTGCGTCGCCCTGTCGGCCCCTTGGCCCCCGCCTTGCGCCCCTCTGTGCTGCCGCTGCTGCCAGCACTGGCGGCAGCACTGGTGGGTTCAGAGGCAGAGGAGGGGGTGGGCGCATGCGCATGGGACTCTGGCGTCGCTGGTGCCTTGGGCTGCTGCTCTGTATGAGCATGATCATGTGCATTCGCATGGTCATGGGCATGTGCATGGTCATTGGTGAGGGTGTGTGCATGGCCATGGTCATGGTCATGGGAGTGGGAGTGGGAGTGGGAGTGGCCACTGCAACAGCCATCATCTTTATGACTGTGTGCATGTGCGTTCCCGTGACCATGCTTGTGCCCATGCGAATGGCCATGGCTATGCCCATGAACATGTGAGTGACCATGCCCGTGACCATGGGAATGACCATGTCCATGCGAATGGCTATGTCCACCATGCTCATGTCCATGCCCATGGTCATGCCCACAGCATCCCCGCTGAATGCCAGCAGCCAGCCCACCCGCACCAGCGCCCATGGCGGCCGCCACAGCCGCCTGCTCCTCCTCCTCCTCCACCGCATCGCCAGCAGATGGCAGCAGCAGCTTCAGCCTGAACGCATCCGAGCCGTTCAGATAATACCGGTGCAGCAGCTTAGCGCGTATGAACCCTAGATTCCCGTACAGCGCCAGTGCGCCCTCGTTAGTCACCTCTGCTTCAAGCACCACCTCCGCGCACCCCGCGTCGCGCATCGCCTCGATGCACCGCGACACGAGGCTCGTCGCGATGCGTCGCCCGCGGAACTCCTTGGCGACGACGAGCATCGCGATGTACCCGCGAGGCACGGCGCGCTCCGCCTCCATCTTGCACACCACCGCGCCCACGCACCGCCCCTCCGCCTCGCCCTCCGCCGCCTCAGCGGCATCTTCGCTGGCGGAGCGCGGGGCGCGCGCGAGGAAGGTGAGGTGCGGCCAGTGGTGGAGGAAGTAGCGGTAGGTGAAGACGGAGTAGGGCTCCGACAGCTCGCACTGCACCAGCCGCATCACCGCCGCCAGATCTGCCTCCTCCGATCGGTACGCGTGGTACGCGATCTCGCCCGCGCCGCCCTTCGTCGCGTCGTCAACTGCGCCGCCCGCGTCGGCGCTTTCAGCGCAGTGCGGATCGGCGGTGGTGTCAGTGGTAGCCATGATTCGACCCGATTCGACGACTGCCGCGTCGATTCTATTTGCGCAACGCTTCGACGCGATCTTCTCTCTAACCGCTGCCTGGCAACCTAGATATGATACGAGCTAAGAAGAAGCGGGAGCACTCAAGTCACGTTCGCAACAGCTTGATTGGTCCGTCCTGAACTTGGTTTTAGATTATCCCATTACATAATTCCTGAGCGCAAGCTCCTTTTGCGAACAATTATTAGATCTGCGGACTTCGCCAGGCCGTGGGTAACAAGCGAACTCAACAAAAGCAGAACCAGCAACCGCCAATCAGCAGCTTTCCCGCTCGTGGCCTGACCTCGAGCTCTGCTCACCTTCAACTGACAAGCAACATTGGGAACTGCTGGCTGCTGCTGCGCCTGGCTCATCCCAGCCGCCAGTCACCTCGAAATTTCCACTAGTTGCTTGCAACACAGCAATGGCTGCTCTTTCCAGGTGACTGGATTGCTCTTGCAATGCATTGATGGCCATTCTAAGAATCAGCAGTATTTTTTGGCCAGTACATAGAGCCCATAATAGCTGTCGCAGTCTATCCGCAGGGCACGGGGGAGCGCCTTCTGGTTGAGGAAATCGCCAGCTCGTCCCCGCATGAGGCGGTAGATGGAGGCGTCAGAGCGACGCCCCCTCGTGGCTCGCGCAGTCAGGTCCAGCGACCACACGAGCGCAAATCCATCGCAACCATCGTCGCACCAGTCGTCGCAGCGCTCGTCGCACAGCCATCGCAGTCACGATCTCCATCCGTTGACTAGCATCGTCATATTCTGCGGCTATGGCGTCGCGCTCCTCCTAGCATTCAACGTCATGCGACTCGGCCCTGCGTCGCCCTCGTCGCATCCCGTCGCAGCGTGCGACGCCTCCCGTGGTGACACGTGCGACTGGGCCACCCATGCGACCCATCAGCTGCTGCACCGCCCGTGGAGCCCTCCCGTGGCGGCGCTGGCCGTTCTGGGGTTCGCGCTGCTGTTGCTCCGCGCGCTTTCCGGGCAAGCGGCGCGAGTGCGCGATCTGGAGATGCGATTGCGAGGGACGAAGGGGGAACAGGCGATTGAACAGGCGCGGGTGAGCAAGGGGGAAGAGGAGGAGAACTTGGTGGAGAAGAAATGGGGGATAGGCAAAGAAAATGACGCGTGGGAGGAGGGAGCGCGAGCGAGAGGTGCGGATGCAGGCACGGCTGTTGGCGCATTGGTCTCACGCGATGGGGACATGGCTTCGCGCGCTGCTGTCGATCTGCTGGTCCATGGAATAGCGGCGCCCATGAGAGGTGCGCTGTGCTCCCCCTCTCGCTTCCCACCCGCCTCTTCCCTGTCGGTTCCGCTTCTCGTGTGCTTCCCCTACGTTGCCCACTTTCGAGCTCACTCGTCCGCCATGCGTGTCCGCGTGACCCTCCGCGCGCCTCCGCGCGGCCCCCCGCAGGCGCGCTGTGGATGCTGCGGCTGCTGGCGGCGTCCGTGCGCGACCCCATGCACCTCGACCTCATCCACTCGCTCCACGCCTTCGCCGCGCACCTCACCCGCCTCGCCGCCGCTGCCAGCGCCACGTGGCGCGCGCAGGCGGGCCCGCTGCCCGTGGTGACGTCAGCGGTGGATGTGCGGGGGGTGGCGGACGAGGTGGTGGGTGTGGTGGGCGGGGAGGCGCGCGAGAAGGGGGTGGAGCTGGCGTGCCTGGTCATGGACGACGTGCCCCCCCTGCTGCTCTCCGACGCCCTCCTCCTCAAACAGGTCCCTGCTGCTCCCTGTCCCCTTCTCTCCGCTCCCCGCTCCCTGCCCCCTGCTCCCCGCTCTTTGCCCCTTGATCCTGCCCTGCCCACCCCCCCTGCTCCTCTCTCCTCTTGCCGTGCCCATTCCTGCATAGCGCATTGCTGCTGCTTGTTTCCTGCCCCTTGTGTCCGTCCTTCACGACCTTCCTGCCTCCCACCCACCCCCTCCCCCTCCCCGTCCATCAGCTGCTGCTGAGCGTGGCGGCAGCAGCAGTGCAGTGCACGGAGCAGGGCCACGTGCTGCTCTGCGTGCGCCTGCTGCACCCCCAAGAGGCCCTCCACCGCCACCAGCAGCAGCAGCAGCAGCAGCAGCAGCAGCAGAGGGGCGGGCATGAGAAGAACCGAGTGGTGGCGGTGAGTGGGAGTGCGGGCGTGCAGCAGAGGCACGATGATGACAGCAGCCTGCTCCTGCCGCCCTCACGCATGCCCCTCCCACCGCCCACCCACCACCACCCCCTCTCCCCGCCCCCCACCACAGCATCCGCCTCCGCCTCCGCGGCTCCTTTCCCCTCTGTGTTCTCCGCGCCCTCCTCCCCCTCCTCCCTCTTCTCCAGCCCGGATCTCCTCGGGCTGGGCGGCATCGCTCGGCGTCTAGCAGCCTATGCTGCTCCGTGGAGCGAGCAGGGGGCGCAGGAGCAGGCGGGCAGTGGGGCGGGTGTGTTTGCATCGCTGTCTGCTGACTCGTGGCTGCAGCAGGGAGGGCTGGCGAACAGTGATGCCTTTGAGCACCGCCAGCAGCAGCGGCAGCAGCAGCAGAATCGCCAGGAGCAGCAGGAGCAGCAACGTTTCCAGCAGCAGCAGCAGCAGAATGAGCAGGAGCAGGAGCAGGGGGGCAGTGGGGGGGCCAGTTTGAGTGGGAGGAGGGTGGTGGACGGGCGGTGCAGCTGGGGCGCGCTGAGGCGACTGCTGGACGACCAGGAGAGCCGCTTCGCTGCTGCCGTCGCACACGCTGTTGCTACTGCTGCTGCTGGTGGTGCAGGTGATGGTGGCGGCGGCGCTGCTGCTGGTGGTGGAGGAGGGATGGGGCAGGTGTGGGTGGAGGTGGTGGTGGAGGACACGGGCACGGGCGTGCCTCAACCCGTGGTCGACGCACTCAACGCCATGGACCACGCTAACGCTGCTACCACTGCTGCTGCCTGCGCCGCTGCTGCTGTACCAGAGTCGTTGCTGCCTCTGCATGCCACCACGCCCCTGCTGCTCGCCCATGCACACCTGTGAGTGCCCGCCCTCATGGCAGCTCAGTAGCAGCACTTGTCCTTTGAATCGCCCCTGCCTCATGCGCCCCTGCCATGCGTTCGCCTCACGCCCACCCACCTGTCCCCACATTCCCCATCCCCTGTACCTGCCTCCTCCTTCCCCCTGGCAGCCTGGCGAGCTCCCTGGGCGGCTCTCTCTCCCTCACCACAGCACCTGCCATCGGCACCACCATCGCTCTCACCATCCCCATGGCCCTCCCCCCTCTCGCCCCCACTCCCTCATCCTCCCCCGCCCTCCTCCCCTCCGCGCCATCACCTCCCCCTCCCCATGCGCTTCTCCCCCCTGCCTTCCGCCCAGCCCCTGCGCCCTTCTTCCCCCGTGCGGGCAGCGGCAGCGAGGGAGGGTTGGCGGCGCTGGTGGGGTTGTGGGAGAGCGTGGGGGCGGAGGGCGGGCTGTGGGAGGCCATGGGGCTGGGGGGGGGCGCGGGGCAGGGCGGAGGGGGAAGGAATCCCGGTGCTGCTGCAGCAAGGGGAGGCGCAGGGGAGGGGGGCGCAGTGGGGGGCGCATATGAGGGGAACGGGGAGGGAGGTGCCAGTGAGGGGGGGAGCAGGGGCGGGTGGATGGGGGAGGTGGGGGTGAGGGAGGTGGGGGCGGCGGAGAGGAGGGCGGTGAGGGAGATGGGGGCGGTGGGGGGGGTGGGGGGCGAGCAGTGGGAGGCAGTGGCGCCGCTGGTGGAGCAGGTGCAGGGCGTGCGGTGCCTTGTCGTGGACTCCAACCCCATCCGCCAACAGGCAAGCCTGGATGAACTGCTGCTCATACCGCCCTCTGCTGCTGCTCATACCCCCCCGCTGCTGCCGGCTGCCCGCTGCACCCACTGCAATCGTTCCCCCTAGCCCCATACCACATGATATCCACCCTCTTTCCCTCCTTTCCGCCTCTCCCTGCCCCTCTCCCCACATGTGTCAGGTAGCAGCATCACTGCTGTCCCGCCTGGGCATGGACGTGGATCTCGCAGACAGTGTGGCTGATGCCATTGCTGCTCTCCAGTGCGCCCCTCCCGCCCTGCACCCTGGTCAGCTGCCTCCCCTCCCCACACGCTACTTCGCTCCTCTCTCTTCCCTCGCTTGCCACCATCCGCCCCCCACACTCTCATCATGCTGTGTCGTTCCCCACACCTGCCCTCGTGATTCCCATCTTCTTCCATACTCTCCCTTTCTGCATTGTGCCCCTCTTTCTCCTTCCTTCTGTTCATGCAGCAGCAGCGGCATGGCAGGGAGGGGTGGGGAGCGGTGGGAGCCGGTGGGACGTGGTGCTGGTGGATGCAGACTGCGATGGCACCTCAGGCTCCGGCCTCCTCCTTGGCTCCCATGTGGCCCGCATCAACGACGCCCATGCTGCCACCCATGCCGCCGCCCATGCTGCTGCCCATGCTGCCGCCCATAATGCCTCCTCTCACACTGCCGAGCACTCTGTCGCACATGCTCCCAGCAGCGACTCTGCTGTTGCCCCCGCTGCTCCTGCTATGGCCGTTTCTGCAGGGGACATGGACCATGGGCACGCAGCAGGGGCAGCACCAGCGGCAGGGGCAGGGGCAGGGGCAGGGACGGTGGGCAGAG